ACTCAAGATATAAATCTACTACATTGTTTCTAAATTACTGACGTTTAGTGATAGCCAATCATAGCAAAGGTGAATCAATAAAGTTCTGTGTTAAAAAGCAGAAATTCTTGTTTTCTGCTGTTGTTATCTCTCTCTCTCTTTCCACTTAATGAGTACCATTCATTGATTTACTTAGACCTAAAAGTATCGTACGACTTTTGAAAAAAAAATGATATGAGAACACATACATGCTAAAGGAATGATCAGAATTTGAATTGATTAGTGATTAAGGACACATAAAGTGGTATTATTAAAATAATAATAATTGCCATCACGATCAATTATCAGATTTCTATTATGAAAAAGGTAACCTTATACAAATATATATGGATAAGCAAAAATGACTCACATAACACACTTTTATTTCTAATAGCAAAGAGGATTAGTTAACTGTGTATGAATACAAGCGACAATAATTTTTCCGATGATAAATCCTGGTAGTAAAGGTGTGCATACAAAATTGATTTTTCTTGCCATCTATCTGTTATTTAATTGGTGGATGGTGACTAGCAGTGGAATCCAGTCAGGATACACATTTCGTCCTATTTTGGACTCATAATCTGGATGTACCTGCATTTCTCAGTGAGTGATGATGTTCCCACCGAGGCTTGAACCCAGTGGCAATCGTTTCAAACGCCAAAGCATTACCGAGTAGGCCACGAGAGTGCAACGGGTTATATTTATTTAATTGGGTTCGAGCCTCAGTGGAAACATCATCACTCACTGAGAAATGCAGGTACATCCAGCTGACGAGTCCAAAATAGGACGAAATGTGCATCCTGGATTCCATTGCTAGTCACTATCCACAAATTAAATTCTAATTAAATGCCCAGACATAGTCGAGGCATCCGTCAAGTCAACCTGAGACCGAGCACTTCTGTCCAATCAATCGACGGGAAAATCTAAAATTCAAATAAATATATATCTATTATTTGATTCAATTTAGATTTTCCCGCTGATTGATTGAACCGAAGTGCTCGGTCTCAGGTTGACTTGACGGATGCCTCGACTATGTCTGAGGATTTACCTTGAAGTAATTTGATGGATGGATGGCGACAAGCAGTGGAATCCAGGACGCGTATTTCGTCCAAATTGAATTCAATGATAACTGATAAGCATTGCGCAAGAGGCCCAAATGGGCTAGTGGGATAATGCTTCGGCATTCGAAGCGATAGGTACTGGGTTTGAGCCTCAAGAGACAGACAATCACTGACTGGGAAATGTAAGTACATCCAGCTGGTGGGTCTCAAATAGGATGAAATGAGCGTCTAGGATTCCACTGCTAGTCACCTTCCACCGAATCTACTTATCTTTGTATCAAGAGTACTCAAAAACAGTTCAACACTTGGAAGTGACTACCAGAAGGTTTTACGCTGCCTCTATACGCAAGATCAAATGACCAGACGGCTAGAAATGATAAGCACCAAGGAATCCTGACAGGCAGGTAACTAACCAACAAACAATTTTTCATCAAATAAAGATGCAGAAGCAGAAATAGAGATGTATTGGACCTCTGAGTGACATTGCACGCCATACAAGCCCCCTGAATAAGAAACGTGACAAAGATGTCGGACTGGCATACCCTCACTGATTGTAGCATCGCATTCCGCTGCTATAGAGGTTTAATGAGGAGTTTCGTATGCTTTTTAAACGAAAGTTGGCATTTAAACAAACTGTCTTTGTGACATACATATTATCGGTGATATTATATCCTTGAACTGAGTAACACATTTACTACACACATACATTCATCAGAAAATGTTGCTTGATACTGATATCTCCGCAGTGTGATGCAGTGAATTCAAAAATTCAATATATATATTTTTGAATTATCATGAAATTGTACTAGTATACACTTGACCTATTTATCGAAACGCCACTATACTCACCACCAGATAAAGCAGGTGGCGCCACTTCAAAAAGGGGATATACTATGTAATAGCCCACCGCTGAATCATTTGACATAAGAGAGTTGCACTTTGTTTCACTAGTTTGAGGTCAAACTCATCAGTGGTGTCCCCAGTTGATTCAGACCAGACAAATGAGTCAATTCATACAACCCTGGTTGACATTACTTACCTCGAGGAAATATCTCTACTATTAGCCTACATGTGTCAATAGAGGATGAGCATTGTGGTCGACTATAGACAATCAACACGTAGTAGTAGCCCTTGCAAAAATATCATGAGTATTTTGCTTCCATTCTTTTGAGTTCCGAATGGACTATAGAGGTTGTCTCAAGCTTTTAATTTTCAGTAGCGGTGGTTGCATTTTCACACCCAATTGCCTTCCTTCTTTACACGGCTTAATCCAGGACTAGTGAGGTTTAGAACTGCATCGGCGGCGAATCGAACTTCGGACCATCTGCATGGTTGGTGAGCAACCTACCGATAAACCACTGAAACCAAACTTACCTCCTATTCCAGGTTTACTATCTGTTCGTAAACTAGATGACATTTAGAAGTGACCAGTAAGGTGCAGCAGGTGGGGTGTGAGAACAAATACTCGGCGAAGACATTGGCTACGGGTCGCACTATGTCGTGAATTGGCAGAAGTTAGAATTCATGGGCTGGTCATTAGATCGGGTCCCAGTGGCTTAATGGTCTACAAGCTAGCTCGCCTTGTAACTAGAAAGTCCTGGGTTTGAACCCTGGCGGTGGGTGCGTACTGCTGAAGAGTCCCAAACTAGGACGAAACAGCCGTCCAGTACTCCCTTGGCCAGTTTTCCAATGGTTCCCTAATTAATGTCAGCTCATGATGAAATCCTGTAACCAATCAACCAAATCCCCACAAACCAACACTTGGATATTTAGGAGTGACTTGATAGGGAATAGGAACCGAATCTCCCTCCTCCTCCATGGAATACCACCACCATTGACGCTAGTACAATACGATACGAATCCTAAATTACATAAGATTTGGTTATTCAATCAAATTTCACAATTTTTCCATTAAGTAGGAGTAAGTCAGCTGATTAGCCACCATTCCTACCAATGAACTGCAGACGGACACGTCACGAGTACACAACCACCAGGAGAGAGAGACAAAAAAAGACATTAATTATTTTATGCTCAAAAACCACATTATTTTATTATGTAAAAAAGGGATAAAACAAAAAAAATTGTGTTCGGTGTACACTGAGAAAAAAAAAGACCAGAATAGAAGAGAAGAGAATACTATGCAGTATACTTTTCAGGAAATGTAGTAGACAAGAGAGTATAAATCATGACTGTTCAATCTCGCACTTGAAAGTGAAGAAATAGACAAAAAGCAAAATAAGTTTTCTTTCACTAGAAAACAGAAAAACAAAGAGAGAGAGAGAGAGGGAGGGAGCGTGTGTGCGCGCGCGCGCGAGAGAGAGAGAAACATCTCACAGACATTTCACCACAGCAAGGAATATTGGTAGAAACAAATGAAAAATTATACAAAATAAAATTACTTACAACAGAAACAGGAGAAAGAGATAAAAAGAAATTTACCAATGATAACATAACAACAACAGAGGGAAGACGACGACAAATGGGATAGATAGAACTAGAAAACAACCACCAAAATAGACTGTGAGCGTCTGGACACGCGAGCATTAAAAAGAGAAAGTCAAGTCCAGAGGTATGTAGGTGTAGCAGAGAAGAAGAGTGTGTGTGTGTGCAACAAAACAACGAAGTAGTTTAACACAGTACCCAACAAACACCTGATGATGAATCGAATAGGATTAGAAGGATCAAGAAACACAGACACCTATGCACACACGCACGGACACACACACAAACGTTAAACGGAATAGTTGACAGGGTATGTGGGTGGGTATGTTAGTAAAGAAAAGTGTTTAACGCATATATATCTGTACATTTTATAAATCATCCTTATCATAATAATAATAAAGATCCAAGTGAAAAGTATTCGCCGTAGTAATAGTAATAATACTGATAATAACGCTAATAAAAGTATATATTATAACAGGAAATTTACAGTTAGTTAAAATGGTATAAATAAGTGGTAACAGATTATTATTATTATTACAATATTGTTGGAAATGAGGTCAGTGCAATGCATATGTATATTGTCTTTGCACACCCAAGAGAAGGAAATAGTAATAGTAGTAGACGGGGGATGAAAACCAGACTGTTGAAATAATCTGGACAATGGCTTCATTCATCCATCGATACTGATGGCATAAAGGTTACCGACATGCATACACGCATGCCTAACTACATATTTCACTAACGACTGGAGAGTGAATTCCAACACACCAAACACCATCGACTTTATACATCACAGTCAACAACAACAACAACAACAAAAACAAAAACAATTCCAACAGAAATGTTACTGGGGAAGCCAATCAAGTAGAGTGTAAAGTCCAATGAGGTGAGAGTATATTTATACCATCTATCTATAGTATTATTATTAATTACTATCGATGAGGTTAGACAAATTAAAACACGATTGAAACAAATCAAAACAAGACAAAAGAAGAGAAGATACGAAGAACAAAATGAAATTTCAGCATGAGAATACAACCACCTGAGGGAAAAATTACTTGAAAATGTTAAAGAGCAATACTTAAATAGTATATACTACTGATATGGGGGGTAGTATTATTAGTAGTATATTCCTCACCACCAAATTATTATTGATGTTGATGACAGTTAAACTGGAAGACAAACAGTGTTGTATTTAATAATCAGAGAGAATATAGTGTTTGTTGTAGTAGAATTCATATTGCACACAAAACTGAAAAACTTGTTATTTGAACTTTTTAAAAAGAAAAATTTGAATTAGGGATATACATACAAAAACCACAAGGAGTGAAATAAATGCAATCAGTTCAGTAATTCAGTCAATCAATCCATCAACACAGGCGCATTATATAAAACAAAATAAATGGGAACAAATAAAGAAATAAGTCAATTGATTATTTGGACTATTATTCACGAATACCACAATCACCATCATCATCATCAAAGACCAACTTCTTGACTACTTGTAATATAAGGCTGTGTTAAAGTGGAGGTGTTCGCAGCAGCCGCAGCCGCCGCACCGGCAGTATTCGACCCGGAACGTGTATGCGGTGCCTGTGATTGTAATTGTGATGATGAGCTGACAATAGACGATGTTCGAAGCATACCGCCAACACCAGCACCACTCGGTGTTATCGGTCGAGTGACAGAAGGGATAACAGAAGAAGTCGGCCGATGTGTATTACCGCTGCTACTACTATTACCAACAGAAATCTGTTGATGCATATTGGGTCGTGGATACAATTGGAGAGTTGGAGGGGCTGCATTTGAGGAGAATGGACCAACAGGCGCCCGTCGACGAGGAAGTGTAGCGCCTAAAGCTTGATTTACATTTCCAGTGTACATTGTTCCAGACACGGATACAAGAGGATGATTTGAACCTGAATATTAATGAAAAGAATATATATATATATATATATATATATATATATATAATTAAACACACTATCATTTAATAAGGCTTTATATCACTCACAACATTCCCAGTGGAACACAAAGCTTAAATGTTTGAAGTTCCAGTTTCACTGGTGCGATTACTACGGAGAACGGGAGTTGCTAGGCTAGCCTCACGTCCAGTCATCCACCATTCCTGGGCTAGCCACTATGGGTTAGTAAACTAGAGGGGTTAGGAATCTATCTTCCAGGAATCGAACCTGTGACAAGGGTGTGTTTGGCACAAATTCCACCATTGACAAATCGAAGCTACCAGTAAGTAAAGTAGAATATCCTACAAACACAAATAAAGACAATCCTCTCTGGGTGCATAGATATTTCACATTATCATGAAGGTAGTCTTCTGAAGTTAATCCTGATATACAGGTCAATATTCGATCAGCTATTCTTTATTGATCTGTATTGCTCCAGTTACTTATGTAAGTTTGCTCAACAACCATCAACTCAAGAAACTATAAGAAGTGGAGATACAGTTTGATAAGACATTGTGAGTGGAACAATGTATCTGCTTACAACACTTTCATCTTTGGAAGTATACTTAAACCATTTTAATTCGGTTGCGTTCTCTCAGCTGAGTGATTTAAGTGTATTCGTATTGGCCGGTTTCGTTGACTAGGAATTTGACTTTCTCGTTACGTGTCTTATACTCTCTTTTTATCATAATTGATAAATTTGATCTGTAATAAAGGTGTCTGTCGATCGCTGGTTCATCGTCTAAGTTCCAAGCTTCTAGGAATTCTCTGGAATTTTCCTTTTGGTGTTTCGACTGTTTGAAATTTTCTACCTCTTCCCAATTAACCCATACAGATCAGATACTCAACTACAACAGTAGTAGTTCATCAGGGCACAAAAGAGACTTCGTACGAACATTATTCAAAAGAGGATAAACACACTGGAACACTCTACTCCACAGAAGAATAGAAAGGAACTTGAATGTCTTCAAGAAAAATCGATATCTATACAGTTTCACCAAAAAATATCTGAGCTTAGATCGAAGGACCAGAAAGAAACTATCCTCATAAACAGCAAGAAAATTCCTCCTACTGTATATAATAAGGAATGTTTCTGAAATAACCACTAGACTACTTGAAATACCATTCAGAATAGATATTGGACAAACACGCACACACACCAGCAGAATCCCTCCATTCATTCATTCATTACTGTGCAGACCGAAAGACCCACATACACTAGCGAAAGAAGACAACATCAACACCATCTACAAAATAAACTGCACTGATTGCGACAAGCACCATATTGGTCAAAGTGGGCATCTCTTTCGACTCCGAGTTGAAGAACATACACTAGACGTCCAAAGATACGACATGTATTCCTTCATATCCATGCATGAAGACAGCAACGGGTGCTAGTTTGACTGGGAAAATGTGAAGATTTTAAACAGTGAAAAAAAACCAAAAATACCAGGGAATTTCGAGAAGTTTGATAATCAGATGACGATCTAATAATCAAGAAAATACCAGAATGCACCACATGACGAAAATTTCGAATCCCAAGTCAGTGAAAGTGATAAATACTGATGCCAATTAACACATAAATACAAGTAAATATTGAAGCTTCTTCTGAAGCGCTTTTGTCTGGAAGGACAAAGAAAGCTTCTCTCAACTAAACCACCATCTAGCTCAAAGAGAGAGAGAAGGTAACACCAAATCAAAATCATCCACCTGAGCTACACGTCTTCGCTATTACTTCAAACCATTTATTGAAGACTTAAATTTTAAATTTTTGGTCAATCGATTGAATCGAAGTGCTCGGTCCCAGGTTGACATGTCGGCTTCTTATGCAGATGTTGGAAATTATGGGCACTGGGTTCGAGCCTCGGTGAGAACATCATCACTCACTGCGGAATGCAGGTACGTCCAGATGACTAGTCCCAAACAGGACGTAATGAGCATCCTGTTTTCCACTGCTAGTCACCATCCACCAATTAACACTTATTGAATAGTCTAAAAGACATTAAACTAGACTTTCAGAAACATTGACGCACATGTAACAAATTACATAAGGTAATAAATTAAAATACCTTGAGCAATTTGTTGATTCGTTGCAATAGTCCCTGATGTCATTGGATGATAAGAAGGCATTTGTCCGGTTAAATGTCCAGAAGCACCAACAGAAGTAGACGATTGATGCTGTTGAAGATGAGAGAAATGATGAGGTTGTGGAACACCTGAATTCCCTCCTCCTCCTCCACCACCACCACCACTTAAGTCTGCAACAACGACAGATGACATCGCCCCACCAGTCGGTAGTAATGGTGGGTGTACTATGGAATGTGGTTGGACAATTTGTTGTGACATCATATTCTGAGATGAACGTAGTGTTGGCATAACAGGAGGTGGTGGGATAGGCGGTACTAATTGTTTTGGACAACCATTCCGCAGGAGGAATTCAGCACAATCATATTTTTGCGAACAATGAGCATAATAGAAGGCGTTTCGGCCTTCATGATCAGTTACAGTTGGATCACCATTATACTATAGACGTTAAAAAGGACAAGTAGAAGTATAATGCGAAATAATTTATCAAAAAATCAGCAAGAATGATGATAAAATGTCATTGAAACATGCCCAAAGTGGGTAATTGATGAAGTGAAAAGTTGCGGTAGTATTCTCTTCATTTAACGATGACGCCCTAACGACTACGTCACATATAGACAATTATTAATGGGGACGAAACTATCACAACGGTTATAAATACTTGCGATGTCACACTTCGATTAATCATAATAATAACAATAAGTAACAGGAACTGGCTATCTGACAGGCTACGCGGCTTATTGGTATATCGAAGACATGTCAACTAGAAAATACCTCCACAGTCTGATTCGACCTATTAAACGACGTAAAATCAGATATTGTTTCCGATGTGTATGTCGCGACTGTTAACAGTTGCACTGGAATATTGCACTTCAGAAAGCATAAAATATATATATATATATATATATATATATATTAGTCAATTGTAAACATGCGGTGGCGGGGGGAATCCTTACAGAAGTGGTGGGACGAATGCAAACCTCTGGCGTTTACAATAAAGCGGACTGCTAACTGTGCAGGTCTACATTTAGGGGAACTGGGAAACTCTGATTTCAATCCTATGGTGTATATCAACTTTAGGATCCGAAAAGATCAAATAGTGCATATGAACCGGTTTTGGTCACCGAAAGCCACGGGGAAGCAGCTCCACTGCCTTGTGGATCAGACTGTATGCCTCTGGATGTGACCAGTAAAGGTAACCACACCCGATTCACTTCGGTTTGGGCGTCTGGACAGTATTCTAGCCCTAGCCACAAATCATGAGGTTTTGTGTGGAGCATCTCTCTTGCTGCCCAATAACAATACATGCCATTTTTATATCTTCAATAAGCGTATCGCATATATTAATTCCAAATGGATAGCATCATCCACCTTCACACTCTAAATTTTTTTAGCTTATAGCCCAGTTAACGGATAACTGAATTCTATCAACCAAATGACTAATAACTGCTGCAATTGTAATAATTATTCTCTTCCAGTAGTACATTACAAGCATTTATAACCTCGCTTAGTATACTAGGTGGTCGGTCCTAAGCCCCCCGAAGAAAACAGGGAAAGATGGAGGTGGGGGCGACCTACCCCCTACCGTGGATAATCGATCCAATCACTACAGAAACTTCAAGGGACTGGAGAAAAACTAATAAATAATTAACTTATTCTGCACTGGAATCGGAGAGACGAAATAAGACAGGTGAATGAAAGTCTTCATGAAGCCAGTCAGCAGATATATGAGTGTATTTTCAATGAAAGCAGAAATAAGCATCGGGATAAGGAATGTTCGCACAATGTTCGAAGCTGTTAAGTCCGCTTAGATTACTAAAGAAATAAGAAGATATGACATAAAAGGGCAGATGAAATGGGAGAGTAAGAAGTCTACTTCCATTGGAAAATGCCAAGTAGGAAGTGGGTCTCTGGAGTGATATGAAGGAGATTGTACGAGGAATAGATGATAGCGTATGAACAATCGTAGAGCCTGCTGTTACAAAAATATTGCAGAAAACAGGACAAAATGGAGGAGCACTCGTGTAGTCCCATGTTCTACTTGGGAACTCCAGGAATAACAATAATAATATAAATAATCATTAACTTACCCATAAAAGTAATTGTAAGTAAACTAGATTACCAAGTGTAGCAGCAATGTGTATCGCTGCTCGTGGATCTTGACGTGAATAAGCTGCATTTACTGTTTCAGGCGTAGCCAGTGCTAAACACAGAATAACCTGTCGTGTATCTTGACGAGCTATAGCATCAATCAGCTGTTGTTGTAATGGAGCATCAGGATACGGTAAAGGAGGTAGAAATTCTTGACGTTCATATTTTGCTCTAATCCAAATTTCTTTCTCTTCACGAGAACTTGAAGAATCAGGTTTCCTAATGACATGTAAATTAAGGCCGAAAATAAGAGGGAAAGTGCTTAAAACTTCTTAAACAACATACATGTAAATATATTATCACTACATATCATGAAATAAATTATCACAATGTGTATTTGATTAGTAGTTTTGGAATAATTGCCATTGAACAAGAACACCTATAAAATCTCTTTACAATGGACACCGTCGAATGAGGCATAAGCTTCTTTTTGATCCTTCACATTCCACATGGAAAACAAGGCTTCAAATCTGATGTTTCAGTAACAGCGGTGTCTTTTCTGCGAGTTGGATTTCTAACCTCATGTACAATCACCTTTCCTCTTTCACGCGCTTACTACTGGCTATGTGCTAGGGTTAAGAGTGCGTTAGCCGTGGATCAAACTATGGAACAGATGTAAAGTCGGTGAGCATTCTCTGCCATTGAACCGCTCTAATAATAATAATAATAATAAGTACCTGTTGGCCATAAATTACTTCAGAAAACACAAAGAAATAAGGGAAAACACCACAGTAACTTTGCTTGAAGACAATTTATGCAACACACAGTTTATATTTAAAATATACGAAGTGAATGAACAGAAAGAAGTTGACAAAACAATATTAGAAACAAAAGACAAAAACCATTGTGGCATTTATTTTAGTCCATTCCTTAGAAATGCGAAAACAGGGATACAATAAAACAATCAATATGAATTAATACGATTACTAGGATTCTGTAAAACATGCATTTTTCTTCATCTCTTTGAGTTCCAAGTGGAACAATATGGCTTCAAACACTAGGCCTTGGAGTTTCACGAGCCGTAGTGTGTTGTCTTGGCTTATGGGAGGTGAGACTGCCAGCCTCATCATTCACAATTAAACTTGCCTATTTTCTAGGTTTATTATACGCTAGGCAAGATTTAGGAGTGATTGTCACTTCTTTCTAGTTCCCACTGGCGTTTCTCAATAATAAGGTCATTTCACCAAAATTCTTTTAAAAGATAGAAAAAGTTAGTAGTCAGTTAAAATGAACAATTTTTTCACAAATTACAAGGCTGAAAATCATGCGGATAGTGTGTGAAGCCTAGTAGTACTATCTAGGCATCCAATAAGAAACATGCAGAGCAGGTTCATTAAACCAAAATCTATATTGTATGTGAACGCCAAATATGGTAGTCAGTAAGCCATATATCCACCTAAACATTTTCAGTGCATGGCACATGCATATAGCATACAATTGGGCATCAGACATAGAGGACAATTATAAACTCATGCTTTCGATCTCAGATTTCCGCATTCTATCTCTAGTGTTAGAAGTGGTAGAATATAGTGAGCAATACTGAGGTTAGGCGTAGAGTCTTAGGTAAAGAAGGGAAGTAAATCGACCAGAATCGATTGAGATGGCAACGACACGTGTTAAGTCAAGCCATCGGCTTCCTTCCTCGTCTGACACTGTTAACTGGCACCAGATTGGTTTGAAAAAGAGTTAAGGGTAATCAGATTAAATGATACCAACGATTCAAGAAGTCTTCGACTGTTTGGTTTGAGCCACACTTAGAGATATAAACCAACTGCCTGAGTTTAAATTTAATCATAAAAGTACTGGAAAAGCTATTGTATCTGTACCGTGTGCTGGTTGAGTTTAAATACTTCTACATTCAGAGTTACAATGACATCCAATCAGATTTCAGTGAGTGATAGTCAAGGTCAACATTATATATATATATATATATATATATATATATATATATATAGATTGTGCAACAGCAAAATTGATTTCAACAAATGAAAGACGTACAACTGCCACAAAAGCCATAAACAATATTTTTGAACTCCATGAGACAGATTTTCAGAAAGTATGAGTACAAAAAATAAAACAGTTGTGTTTCAGGTATTATTATTATACATTGTTTCCTTTAGTTCCTAGAGGAACATACAGCTTCAGCCGAACGTCTCCGTTGCGTTCGGTTCTCCGCCAACGTTTCCACCTACCTACCTCCATGTCTGCCCACATGCTTTCATCTCCTCTTCACATGACCTCCTCCATGTAACCCTCGCACTGACGACCAACTCGCTGCTTCCCATTCGGGTTCCATTCGAACGACGGCCTGGCGTGTGATGTCACTCACTCGATGGTTTGTTTGCTCAGCGTATGGCTAATCCACCTCCATTCCTTCCTGTATGTTTGTTGCACAATCGGTTCCTGCTGTGTAGGTTTGCTTCTAGAGATCCCTGTCGCTGATCAACTCTGACTGGCCATCTGATCGTGAATAGTATTCAGCGAAGACAGCTGTTGATGGTCTGTAGTTTGTTCGAAGTGCCCTTCGTGATAAAGGTGCCAAGTCTCTGATCCGTACAGTAAGTAGCACTGACTTCACATTGGAGTTGAAAATCCGGATCTTATTTTCATTTCCATGTTGAGCGCTGTTGATCTCTTCCCCACAGACTTGAGAGAAACGAAAGCTTGCCTAGCTTTCTCTGATCTTTGCTTTGATATCCTCGTCAGTTATACCTGTAGTCGAAACGATGCTTCTTGCGTAGGTAAGTGGAGGAGGTTGCTTCCTGAAGATTTCTCCCATTTATGCTGAATGTTATATGTTGTTGTTGCTGTTGGGGAAAAAATCTTAATTAACTCTGTTTTCTCCAAGTTCACCTGAAGTCCTATCTTCAATGCTTCCTCTATCAACTTGTTTCTTTTGACTTGTATATCTTCCAGTTTGTGGGAAATTAGACAAATATCATCGGCGAAGCCCAGGTTCTCCAAGTATTTTGTGTGGGTCCATTTTATGCCTGTTTCCTAGCTTCCCGCCGCTATCCGTGGCATTATCCAGTCTACCTCAGTCAGGAAAATCATTCGAGTTAGTATGAGTTAATCTAAACAGATCACCTTCATTATGATTACTGTTAAGCGCATGGTGTTCTGTGATAAAAGAACTATCAAATTGTAACATCGTATATAGTACAGCAATCATTAGTAGTATTATAGCCACTTTCAACCTCTCTTGTTGGCACTTACATTATCGAGCAGATCAAATAGTGTGTTCCATCACATCTTTAGTTTTCAAAAGAAAGCATATGAAGAGTTTACTGCCATAAGATACTTATGCAGCATATAACGAATAGCCTTAAACAATTACCACCCATCCATCCAGTAAATAAGCTTTGAAATAAACAAATAAAACCATACTAAACTTACCGCCGATTCCCTGCATTTACAGGTACTGCAGCTTCCCAAACAGAGTTAGCTAGCGTATTCCCAATAGCCCCCATCACAGCAACAGATTCAGTCGACCATTCATCTAAGTGTAAAGAACGTATCCGGGAAATATGCGTCCCCAACTGTCGATGTATACCACTGCAACTGATACAGACCATAGCGCCCAGATTTAAACTTGCCCAATCTGGTTCTAAAATATGTGTATAAATGAAGTTTTTTGGTTAAAAAAACAACAACAACAAAAACATTTAAGGCGAGGAAAACATCTATCAGTAATAATCGACAGAAGATAACCGATTATATATCACGAAATGATAAAAAGTTTGAATTAATGGACTATTGAGTCGGGTCCCAATGAGTAATGGTCCTCATCCTCGACCTGCTGTAGCCTACTGGTCACGGCTTCCCAATGGTTCGCTACAACTGATATCAGCTCATGATGAAATCCTGCATCCGATCAGACAGAATCCCTAAAAAACCAATACTTAGAAATTGATCTGGTGCTCACTAGTGACTGGTCCTATTCAGGCAGTTACCGCCTGGGGTTCTAGTGGGAGGCTGTGACCAGTAGGATACAGTAGGTTGAAGATGAGGACAGTTACTCATTGAAGAAGATATTGCGAAGTAGTTGAGCTAAAATCACAAATTGGTATTAGTTAGAATTTATGGGATATTTGGATCAAGTCTCAGTGGCTTAATGGACTACGAACTCCCCTCGTAACCGGAAGGCCCTGGTTTCGAACTCCAGTGGATGCGTGCTGGTGAAGAGTCACAGAGCAGGACAAAATAGATGCCTAATACTCCTTGACTGGTTTTCCAATGGTTCTGAATGCGATGTCAGAGAGTCATCAGTCCAATAGCCGATTAGTTGTAAAATAAATATGTAGAGATTAAACTGAATGCAAGTAATAACGACGGGGATTTATTGCACTCCGCACAAAGAACAAGATTCGGTTCGGAACATGTCAGTTCTTCTATAGGATCCAGAGACCAGAAGCCAATGTTTATTTTTATCAACAGCTGTCTTGGTTCCATTCTCAAGAAAGGATTAGCAACAAGAGACTCTGGTAACGATCCAACCATGAATCTATCATTTAACAAATATATACTGCGGGAAATGGAGATAAATTGGAACGTTGAATGACAATCAAGTGCAAGGTACTCGAGTGGAACCTAAATAGGAAAACGACCAGTTGGGCGTCAGAATATGAGATGAAAAAGATTATGTGGGTAGGAAATGAGAGCTAATGGGTAATCGTGGAACCGCATTGCAGAGGACTAGACGAAATGGAGATGTCCTGTTAATCTCGTATGTTCCAGTAGCAACCCAAGGGGATAAGACTACTAAGTGATAACGACCTTCAGTGTAAAACTAAGTGAGGGTGGGGTCGTCGAAGTAGGCATTTGGCAGTTCCACCTCAGTGGATGCATGATCAACACAATGACCTCATCACCCGAAAATCCCGGGTTGCATTCCCTTTGAGACCATCGGTGCGTGGTGCCAAAGATTCCTAAATTAGTGCATACTCTGGTTTTCAATAGTTCTATAAACTGAAGTCACTTTGTGATCTAACTTCAAACCAATCATAAACCTACAAACTTACAATACTTCAAAAAGAATATTAACATAAATAAATAGGAAGATGAGTGAAAGTAGGAGAGAGCGAGAGAGAGAGAGAGAGCGAGTGAAAGACAATTCAAGCATAAATCACTTTATTTTTCTAAACAAAAATATGCATATTACCTAAAACAGTGAAGTGAAGAAACAGAAATTTGCATAATACAAGTCAAAAGAGAGAGAGAGAGAGAAAACATGCTCAACAACAACAACAAAAATTTGACTCCTGATCAATTCAAAAATATGCACTTGGTCGGTTACATATACGCATATTATATACATTCCAAGTGAAGTCTTTACAATTTCACACTGGAAACATATAACAGTATACTATACAGTAGTGTATATCATTTTCTTGTCACTTAAGTAAGAAAGTAAACCATACGTGAAAACGACTAGGGAAATACATTTCGACCACCAATATTTAACAATTGGAAAACCAGTAATCATATAGAGCACATAGTGAGCTAATTAAAGCTGTGATATATATGACTGAATGGGTTTCAATGCCGAACTTTTCCTAGTAAGACAGCTGTTCAATTTCCTATATACTCGATGTAGCACACAAAGTTAGACAAAAGGGGAAGTAAAAGAGATTCAAAAGAACTATAATGATGAGGGGAAATGTACGAGAGAAAGAATAGTAACAAAAGTAATAAGATGAAGACTTTATAGGGTCTGGGAGATTACAAAGAGTGAATGCATCTGTACCACTGAAAACGATTTTGAGCCATATCACATCAACAGTCTCCGGTCATCGGTCTCCTTTGTATCCCGAAGATGCCCGATCGCACAGCCGAGACTGAATGACTGACTGACTGACGGGTTTCAACACAGAACTTTTCACAGATGTGCACCAGTTCCAGTTACGACACTTCATTTAGCACACAAAACAAGAGAAGTGTGAGGCAAAATAATATTAATATTAAAGAACAATAGAGTTTGATTGGATATTTATAAGTCATAAGGAGTGGATGCATCTGCACCAGTCATTGACAATGATTTTCAGTCATATCACCAATTGTCTCCAACCACCATTGGTTTTTACCATCCCAATGACCCCAAATACAAAGCCAGTCTACATCTCCCTACGTTAAAATCCACATTAACAATTGACGTCTTTCGGCATTTCTATACATGATCTTTTAGAAACACTACGTTAACTCCACAGTATCGATGAGAAGTTACCAGGACACTATTGTTTTCCGACAACCCACGTCTTTCTAATACAAACAGTGAGTTCACCTGTATTAACTATTACGTTTTGCAGTTCCTTCTAACTCCACAGGGACGATTCACTTCTTGGCTTTGGTTACGCTTACTTAACACATAACAGACAACTAACTTTTCAAAGCCTATTCATCTATCACTTTAACAACATCTCAGATTGTCACTTGTTTTTTTTTTACATTCCCATCGTTTCAAATGGAATATGAGGTTTCGTGCTTTGACATTCCAATGGCGATGAGTTTGTTAACCTCACGTTGGATATTCCCTTTTTTTCTGAAATTACAACCTGCCAATTAGTAAATCAAGATGGAGTTTAGGAAGTATAGTCGCTTAGAAATCAAAACCAGACCTCTCGTCTTCTAACATTGAACCATTGACACATATAGATGATATATATATATATATATATATATATATATATATATATATATATATATATATATTGTAACTAAGTTTCCAAAATTTATCGATTTTTCTACCTAATATAAAATTTGATATGTTTTCTTACCAATTGACATGAATAAATTGACGCTTATTGATACTTCTTCCATGCACGACACCGTTTAAAAAACACTAATTCAACTGTACAGCTTTGATGAGAAGTAACAACAAAAAGATACGATGCTTTGCTGGCCTGGTGTTATAAAATATCCAACTAACCTGGAGCACCACAATCTGCACAGTAGTCGTTCCCTGCAGCCGCGCGTATATTCTGTATTAGATGTTCAGTGACAGCCAGTTCATTAGCATCTCCTGCACCACATCGACTAGAATTCAAACTGTTCGAGTCAGCCCCACCATGACGACCACCACCACTTCCTAATGAAGTAAGCCCGCTGATATTCGAGGTGTGATTAGAACCACCAGTTGCATTACATGCCGCAGCAGCTGCTGCAACAGCTCGAGTACGTTTACTGGATTCATTCAACTGAAGTCTAGTCATAATAGCCCGTTCAATATGCATCACCCATTCATCTCGTTCATCTGGGCCAGTTGCTTCAAAATGCCATTGGCGATCCATAGATATTAACTGGAATTCATAACCTTCAGAATCTAGAGTGGGATAATAATTGGATATAATAATTCATGTTAAAAGTAGAATCACTAGACTTGTTTAAAATAAGAAAGTGGTTGGAGCAATATATATAAATATTTGAAATCCAAAGACAATAAAAGCAGCAGTCATCATTATTATTATTTAAAATCAGGTTCCTTTAGTGAAATGTCTTTACCTTGTATCCATTGTTACGCATTAAGCAAATATCGTGATTTGTTGGTGATGAACAGGTTGTGTTTGGGTTCAAAGCACACTAAAGGTGACAAAGACTAAAGTCCTCGGATAACTGGGCTTCAACGAGGCTTGGCGATATATAAACATGCATATTAGAGACACTGTTTACACCATAGCCAGAATCCGCTTCTGAACTACTTTAAGGCTAATACGCCATTATTTTTTTCCCTAACCGATAGATATAACCATGATGTGGGAGTAGCACTTGCGTATCGTAATGATCCAACGAGTTACAACAGCCGGAACAAGTGTTCCTGCGAGCAAGGTCGTTTGGATTGCGGTTAGACTTAAAAGCGGTTACCATCGAAGTCTAAGTCTTTTACACTACTGTTGTGAGGTCTGTTGGAGAACAGGGTTGTAACAGCAGTAAGATGCTTCCCGCAGATGACCACCAAACCAGTTATGGTGCCCCTTCACTCTGGAGAGGAAGGATTAGAGAAGACTGAATCCGAAAATCATACATCTCGGCTTACCTTGAGGGTGGCCATAATAGGTATTAAGGCTTTACTGTGGACGAAACTTTAGAAACTAATTCAATTAGGCTGTGTGTGTGACCATCCGCAGACAGTTGTGCCTTGGGCTCTGTGATCCCATATCATCACCGATATTTTCGTCGCCGGTATTTCAGGGAGAAATCAACTTCTACGGTGTGAGTATCCAAAATTTGAGAGGAAAGGTAAGTAGATGGAAAATAATGGGAATTTATTAGATTCAGGGGATCACAAAAAGTGCATCTGCACCATTACTGAGAACAAATTCCAGTGACAGTAACGAGGAGTCCAGCCAGTCAGACCATACATCTATCTAACCACGTAACACAAACCAACGCTTAACTCTTTTCCAATCCAAAGAATATCCATTCATCAAATACCGACAATTAAGTTATCAGTTGTATTTTAAAACAATAGCCAAAAAACGGAAACAAAAATTTGGGATCATTCACTTACCTGAACCATCAGCATTACTACTCTTTGGATTGGATTTAATACGTCGATGACGCTTTTTAACAGATGAGGAATCTTTACCACCTGTTGAAATGGAACCAAATCTGAAACGAGAAAGACATAGACAAACAAAATTTAGCACACACTTGATGAGAAGAACTGAATTCAAACACAAATATAAAGCAACTGTTAAGGTTATTAACAGTATTGAGTAAATCGAATTATCACACTCTCCAAGGCCGTGAATAGCATCACAGTTTTTAAAGAATATTGTAATACAGAAAAAATAGACGCAATGTAAAGCTAAAAAAAATAATATCTGTAATTCTTTACGTATATTTATTACGGAATATACACACATTGGGTCATAGGAGTTATTAAGAAGACAATTGCAGCGAAGAAAATTTTGTTTTCGACGAAGTCATCATCTTGGCTGTACATTCGTGTATTATATCATATGGATAGGAAAGTTCCAGAATAATATCTGGTCAAGGGTCAAATTAGTAAAAATTAAAATTAGGAATTAGAATGCCATAATAAACAGGGGGATGGATAAAACTCAAACAAAGTAGCATCATGATAGCTAAGAAGATTGACATTGTGCAATTAGGGGTTAGAAATGTAGAAATAACAAAATAGACAGGATGTTTGGATAAGAACTAATGTGATGAATAATTGTTTATGCAATCAGGGATTAAATATGTAGAAATAGTAAAATGACAAAATAAACACTAAGTTCGGGTATGAAAATATGGTAATGTAAACAGGGATTAAGAAAAACTTAAAATAACATGAATAAACAGGAAGTTTAGGTAAGAAAGGCGATGGGATGGTCATTACTAAAAAATTACCTGTTTATGATGGCCATGGCAGGGACAGGAGTTGGACGTATTTCATTTGGATACAAAGGGTGGGTTTGGGCTTTTGGATAGCTAGCGCTTCGGCTATGCCCAAATGTCTTGATTTCACTCCCTTTGATAGGTTTGATTGAATCTTGTATACTATTTTGAAGGATTTTTCAAGTCGGCGCATGGTACGGCCAACGTATTCAGCTCCACAAGAGCAAGTAAACTGGTATAGGCACGTTGAGGTGGCCCAATGCGACAGCTTGTCTTTCGCGTTCTGGCTGAACAGTTTCTTGCAGGAAAACGTCAGTCGTAGGCTCGCGGCGAAGTAACGGAACAGAATGGACTTGCTTGGAAGTCTTCTTACATTTGAGATTCTTGTCTATGAATCTTGGCGGGAAACCGTTTTCCATCAGGGTTTTTCGAAGATTACGCAGTTCTTCTTCAGAACAGTTAGTAGTAGTAATTGTTGCTGTTATCAAAACTTAGTTAATTGGAACTAATTTTCCAAGTATCAGGTGGTGAACCACATTAATCATAGTACTATGTTGTCATGACTTGAAGTAGGATACAACAGTGGAATTCAAACGCACAACCTACACAGCATCTAATTGGTAACAATGAAAAGTTACTTATGCGGAAAATTTATTAGCACAACACACAATGGTGGTGCTCAGTACCAATATTTGCTACTCAGAAATTCAGTAAATTAGAGCATTTTTCGTCTTCCTTTACATTCTGACTGGAAAACAAGACTACAAGTTCGAGTTTTGAAATTATAGTAGTGCAGTAGGGTTGCTAGCCTCATGACTCACTCAACCTTCTCTGATTACCGGTCTCACTACCACAGAATTGAGTGAGATTTAGGAATGTGTAGGGTAGGAAGGCTTGCCAACCAAGCACATGGTCCGGGGTTACATCCCCGGCCACAGACGCACTCCTTTACATCGCTAAACCGGTAATAAGACTGGTAAAAAGGGAAGGTTGGGCATGAGGCGGCTAGCGACCCCATCCCGTTAAAATAAACACCACTGCTACCTAAACTTAAAGCTGGCTCTAGCTTGAAGCCCTAGGTTCCACTGAGAACGTAAAGGAATTAAAAAACGGTTAGGAATCGAATCTAGCTCAAGTGACTGAGTGGTTGGTAAGCATTCCTACCATTGATTGAACTACCCCCAACGCACAAAATGAATAATAATTAAGTTTCACGAAAAGAAATAAGAATAAAACTACCATAAATTAGCGAAAAATATTGTTGTTCTGGTTGATTTATGAATAAATTAACGTGATATAACCGTTATAGCCGCTTCAGAGTGTAAAATAATGATGTGTAGTGTGCGGTTGACTCCTAAGCAGCATAGCTTTCGAAATCAAAGCACAAATTGATTTCGTAATGACGAGTGAACCAAAGTTATGACTGACTAGTTTCAACATAGGAGTTTGCACAGATATGCACCAGTTCCAGTTGCCACACTCCACGTGGCACAGAAAGCAGGAGAGGAGAGTAAAGAGAGATTCAAAAGAGAGATAATAAACAGAAGTGTAAGTGAAGCAAAAAGAATAATAATGTGGAAGAATGATATAGTTTTATTGGATATTATAAATTACAAGGAGCGGATGCATCTGTGTCAGCCATTGAAAACGATTTTCAGCCATATCACTGATTGTCTCCAGCTGTCATTGGTTTTTACCATCTCGACGACCCCAACCACGAAGCCAGTCTACACCTCCCTACGTGACTGGCTAGCTGGCTTAAACTAACTGTTGTGGATGTCATTGATTGATGAAGACTCATTTCCGTTTGACCACCACTAGCTGTCTCTTTTTCAACCTCATCAATCCTGTGTCAGCTAACATTGACGGTCGGTCTAGGAAGACGATGGCTAGGTGGGCGTAGCACAAGTTCTAACCATCTCGATCAGTGTAACTTCACAACCTCGTCAACTGACTTCCTCTCTTCATCTAGCACTTGGGAGATAGAATGCAGGTGCCTATAATCAAAGACAGCTAGCCTTTCAGTATCTTCCACACTCAATGCCCATGTCTCACAGCCATAAGGGAGAAGACAGCCAAGTGCTGAGCAGTACACACGCCCTTTGGTCGACAGCCAACCGGATATCACGTCAACGCTAGAGACGGCGTAAGCTGCCATATGCGAAACGAATCCCCTTCTTGTCCATGCTGAATATTCTTCAGCGATGCACCTGTTGGGGCTGATGGTACTTCCCAAATAAGCGAAGCGGTCAACGTGCTTTACCACTTCACTCATTATTTCTAAACTAGGAGTCACTGTAGTCCAATCCAGTTGGTTACTTTCGCTTGTAAAGTCAACCGTGCATCAAGCAAGGATCCCACACTATTTCAAGAGGAAGGTACCACAGACAGACCTACAAATATCCTCCAGTGGTCCCCAAATTGAAAACCTATTAAAAAAGGGGGATTTGGTGTTCGGACCGACTAAATAACTTTGTTAGCTTTGAGGTCATAATTGATGCATTCGCTGACGTAATAACCTGATTGGACCATTTTTAGTTGATTTGTTTCGGAGGATCTTCAAGACCGTGCAATCAATCAGATATTGATCACATATTCATGGTTTAAATTTCCGTATATGTGAAAACTACACGTATATAACCTGTATTGTACATAACAGAGATTGTTGCTGTCGTGATTTTTGTACTTAAATCTGGCTTTTATGTCTATCTCAGTATGGCGGGACAGTTGCTTAGAGTTGGGGAACAGTCAGTACGAGTGTTATGTCTGGAGGCGTATTGTAATCAAGCTGGACGACAATCACAAAAACAATAACACACCATCATCACATAAATATTGTGGAGTTGTAGCTCATCGGACTAAACACTCGACATCTACCCAATAGCTCCCGGATTCAAGTCCTGTTTAGTCTACTTCAGCTAGGGCAGCCTTCATACAATGAGTGTGGCCCATGACGGAGTGAATGAGTTCAAACAACATGCATATATTACTAACCAACTAATAGAAATAAAAGGAAAGCATTTATATGTCTGTTGGTTGGAATTGATCCGGTCTGATTTAAGTCTTTATATTAACGATTAATGCATAAAATTCAGATCGTGTGTCTAAGATGTGAAATGTCGTCCACCTCTGCTAGACAGTATACAATTTAATAACCATATAACTATGTCAAAACAAACAATAAGTGAAATATCATGATGATAGCTCAAGTTGAACTTACTTTTTATATACGGTATATCATTCGTAGCATAAACAAACGAAAACAGAGTTGTGTGGAATTTAAGAAACGTTTCGAAAGCCAGACATGGAGACCAGACATATATTTCGAAGCAAAATGAAAAAAACAAACATTAATGATGATGAAAAAAATATCGGTGATGTTTATGTATACACATAAAAATATGCATATATATTGGGTTACACCTAAACGTAGTTGCCATCATAGTTAAAGCATGGATTTTACAACCACCAGGCAAGAGGTCTGATAATGAAATTGTACTGTTAACGATAAAATGTGTCCTCCACTCCCCCCCCCACCCAGCCTACTTTGGAGGGGAAAGGTTTAGCTGATTGTTGCTGGTAGTAAGACACTCACTCCTAGGTGTAAAACTCGACAAATTCAATCACATTTAAACAGTCTACAACATTTCGGACAACTTCATGTTGACATTATGTGTGCTCTGTAGTCACGTAACAAAATTATTATTTTTTCTCTCTTTCAGTTAATTCAAGAAGAAATCACCCTCTGCTACAATGTAGCTAAATCCAGAAGGGGTGCTAAGTCCCTACTTACTCCGAGTGACAGGGGAATGTATTCCGTTCACCACCTGTCCCATTTCATTTTCTCCTTTTCCACAATATTAGTCCCTCTTACAAATTATAGTATTCCTAAAATTTTCACCAAACGTTAACTCCGTGACGGTTATCACAAATTCAACCAGGAAAAAGCACCATACTCAGCGTTCGACGATGACTAAAGCGGTTTAAAATTGAAGTTTTTAGAGGCCATACTATGTGCTTGTATGCGGCAACTTCCTTCTCTATGCTAAAGTCTGATATCTAAGATCTTACAAACGTGTGCATCATGTTCTCGTCGTATGCATAAAGTGTAAATATCCAATTCAACCCATCCGATCAACATCATGATCTATAGTAGAATGAAGGTCGTGTAGAGATGAGCTTAATTTCAAAAGCGAAGAAATGATAATTCGACTACATATCAATCAGAAATGTTGTATGGTATTCATGGAAATGTATGTGCAAAATAGGGGGGAGGGAGAGCAATACTCATGAAGGCCCTTTTAACGCCAGACACCTGTCGAATAGCTTCAGTGCACGTTTGATCACCAAATGACCCCAGTTAATGAACCATTGGAAAACCTGGGAGTGATAAACAGCTATTTCGTCAGAGTTGAATGCTCTTCTGTAGCACGTACTCACTAGGGTTCGAACCCACGATCATCCCTGCAGTTGTAGTGAGGAGTCGTAATTGGTTGGTTCCATCAAATCAGGTGACTGGACAGTTAATTGCCTATAACGATGGCTGGAGGGTGCGCTTTATACTCCACGAATTGGCAAAAGTCGAAACTCATTGACTATTTGATCGAGTCCAGGTGGCCGAATAATCTGCGAGCTCACCTTGTAACCGGGACGTCCTGGGTTCAAACCCTTTCGGTGAACGCATACTGCTGAAGAGCCCCAAAATAGGCAGACAAAAAAACCGTTCAGTACTCTCAGGTTTTCTGATGCTTCTTCAACGTGTATAAGGTCATGATACAATCCTGTAACCAATCAAATCAAATCGCTACAAACCAACACTTGAATATCACCAAGTCTTAGCCTCGCGGTGGGTGCGCGCTATCGAAGAGTTCCAAACTGGGACGAGACGGTTGTCCAGTAGTCCCAGGTTTACCAATATTTCTCCAACCGATATCAGTTCATGATGAAATCCTGCAACCAATCAAATCCCGGCAAACCAACACTTGATAATGAATCTCTTGACCTCAAGTCATATGTAACTATGAGGAAAAAGTTCAAGAAAGTATACTTTCCGAGTTAATAGCGTCTACAAGAACTCATGCAACCTGGTGGAGTTTTCATTTGATGTATCAAAAAAGACTTGATAAATACCTAATCTCACCATACACATAAAAAGGTGTTGAAGTGCTTGACTAACATGCCTTTAGCATTTGACGGCATTAGAAACATAAAGTCCCTGAGATGATAGAATCGTTACCAGGTGATGATGTTGAATAAACTCAATCTTTCGGATTTCATGAGCAAAAATACAGGTATGTCTATCCTTGCTCCTCACACTCCTAAACCTCACCAAATCGGCAGTAAGCTCGGTGAAAGGAGAAAGTTAGGTGTGAGACTACCGATCCCGTCTTCAGTAAAAAAACACCATCAAAGCTCAAAACTTCACACCCTGTTTTCTACTCGGGAATTGAAGTGAATAGGTGGATGGTGATTAACAGTGGAATCCAAGATGCACATTTCGTCCTATTCAAGGCCCGTCGTCTGAATGTACCTGTATTCCCAAGTCAGTGATGGTGTTCCCACTGAGTTTCAGACCTAGTATCCATCGTTTCGAACGCCAAAACGTTATCCACTGGACCACTTGGGTCACAAGAACCACCTCTCGTGCAAAGGCATATCCGGATGACGAGTCCCAAATAGGACCAATTGAGCACCATGGATTCCACTGCTAGCCATCATGTATCAAATTACTTGAAAGTCAATATTTATGTGTATGATGGAAGATGTTGTTAATATGAAGTTTAAAAATAATCGTTTGCAAGATATTTCAAGTACGCTAAATGAATAAATCAGCATTATTGCTATTATTATCAATACTGTTACTGTAAACAAACTGTTGACCTGATGTTTGGTTATCATTAGTAGAAGCTGGATTCTCAGGACTTTTTGCATCCGCCGTACCGGTGGACCGTCGATCTGTTAAAAAAACCAAAAAGGAAAATACGAAATAAATGTGAGTAATGTAGGTCGCGTCAGACACACACACACACACACACACACAAAAGAAGTAAAGTATCAATAATGCGGTGGCTCAAGGGTAGAATTCTCACCACTCACACACACAAACGCAAGTGTAGTCAGGGTTCGATTCGCAGTCGACGCGCTCCCAGGCCTCGTCTAGTTCACCAGCAGGGAGTAAGCCCGGAAAAAAATAATAATAATTTGCTTTATTCCAAAAGATCAAGTAAGGCGTGAGGCTGGCAATCTCCTATCTTGTAAAAACCACACCACCGCTACCGAAACTTTAAAGCGTAAAGAGCTCGAGGCCTCAAGTCACACTCGGGACACGAAAGAGTGAATATATACATGTGCAACATTGTCGTATAAGCATTAAGTCTTAATTAGTCAGCATGAAAGGCATGAATAAACATCCCCAGGTGGTCAAAGTTGTTCAAGGCATCCCAACAAAACAGAAAGAGGTATATAATACTTTGAGATAAGTGTATATTACACAGGTTGGTTACTTGAAATTTTCACAAACTTCTCCAACAAAACAAACAGCATAACACTTTTCAATAATCAATAACAGATCATGATATCACTAAGTACAGTTGTGTTTATGTTGTTTGTTTACACACAAACTAGCCTCCACCAGGTAAGTGCGGTTCACTACCTTCACAAAAGTTAAATACCGTAAAGCGAACGTCTGGAGCTTACACCTGAATTGGTAGACAAGTCAGTCTACCTAGAGGGACTGGAAAACATTGATTTCAAATCTAAGATATACATGGACTCCAAAATCCAAACGGATCTGGTATATGAACCTGTTTTCGTCAACAGGAAACCATCGGGAGGCAGCTCCACTGCCTTGTGGATCAGCCTCCAAGTCAAAGCCCCCGAGGGAGTGGTCCCTTGAGACAACAGCCCGCTTCAATCTGGGTGTTCGAGTAGTAACCAAGCTCTCGTGTAAACTATGAGTTTTTGTGTGACGCATCTCTTGGTGCCCATAATATACCAAATTTGATTTTCCATAGTTTAGTTTGTAAGGGTTAGCTTTGTTTTTACGAGTTGATCACGGATTGATATCAGTTAGAGAACCATCGAAAACTAACAGGGAGTAATGGACAGTTGTTTCGTCAGACTAGTTTGGGAATAATCGGCAGGACGCACCCACTGGGGTTCAAACCCGTGGCTTTCCTGTTACAAGTCAAGCTCGTGTACCTTTCAGCCACTGAGACCCAACTCAATGGCCAGCCCATGAATTCTAACTTCTACCAATTCGTGATTCAGTGCGACCCCAACCAATATCGTAGGTGGGACATCCATCCTCACACGTGACATCTACATCGGGATGGACCTGACTGGTTACGACTTCTCACTAGAACTCCAGGAAACTTTATCCTGTAGCAAGTCATTAGCAAGCGTCAGATTAATTTTCTATAATTTGGTTTGTACGGTTTAGGGCTGAATAGCATACGAGCTTGTCTTGTAACCGGAAGGTCCTGGGGTTCGAACCCCAGTGGGTACGTATTGCCGTTGATTCCCAAACTAGGATTAAACAGCTGTCCAGTGCTCCCTGACTGGTTTTCAATGGTTCTCTAACTGATATCAATCCGTGATCAACTCGTAAATACCAAATTTGAGTTTTAATAATAAACAATGTATATATGAATAAAAGGTGGAACTCTACACAGATAACTATGAATTTCATTGAGTCCAGAATTCAATCAAGTATGTCTATACATATCATGCTCGTCAGTAAAAAAAGCATTCAGACTAAACTGCATTTAAGTTTACTTTCTGTCACTACAGCCGACAAACAACGCGTCATAAATAAATAAATAAGATACGCATATACAGCATAATTAAAGACGTTAACAGTGATAAAGTTTAACAATCTTATGACTTTAACCACCGAGATTATTGATTACTTCATATATATATATATATATATATATATATATATATATATATATATATATATATATATATATATATATATATACATATATCAAAACGAAATTACACAATCTAGACCATACCTGTTCCAGCTTCATTGAGTTGACTTCTCAGCAAACCGTTACTTGTGATTCGACTGCCTACCTGACGGAAGGCTACACCAGGAATTTTGACAGTTGTCCGACTTAAATCAATTTCTTTACCATGTGTATTATCCATATAATCCTGAATAATTAGATAAACAGGTCAACATAAAAATATATACATAAAATTATTAATAAAAACTGACGTTTCAGCGTAGAACCTCGCACAGAAATGCACCAATTCAAGTTGATACAATACAGGTGGCACACAAGGTACACAGACAAACACAACAGGGAGAAAAGGAACTTAGAAGAACTAGAGTGAACAAAGACATATGAGAGAAAACATGAGGATTTAATCAATCTGGGGAGATTACAAAAAGGTTAAATGCATCTTCACTATTAAAAATGGTTTCAAGTGATGTCACACCAACAGTCTGAAGCTTTGGGATCTTAGCATCCCAATGACGTCAACCAGGAAGCTTGCAGCTGAAACCAACTGCCAGGAATCTATCATGGATTAAGTCCAACCCACTCCTATGTCAACTAACACTGAGTGCGACGAAGAAGGTGGTGACTCAGCATGCATGTACAACGCGTGTCCTAATTTTTTTTAGCTTCACAACCTCACCGGTTGACTTTCCCTCCTTACCTAGCATTCTATAACAGGAAGATGTATGAGCAGACGAAACCCACCAAATTTCAGGGTTAAACCCAACTACCGATCAATTAACAGAAGCACGAATCTTAATCATTGTTACTTTATATCCTACAAAAAATGAAAACATTCTGAAATGATCGATCCATGAATGCAGTCCAAGAGAGATTATTTTAGACATCATTTGAAACAACTGTGATAGGGGGGGGGATTAATTTACATTAAATTCAAGTATACGGAAATGATTCATGGAAAACTCCTTGAAATAAAATCGAAATAGGTAAAACTAACCTGTCAACAACAACAACAAAAAAACACAAATCATTTTATGCCCTTTGATGAGTAAGTGCACGATCAACAAATCAGTATTATTATTCTGTATAGTTCACCAATCTCAAGTCCGTTCTTCTACAAGGTTTAGACAGTTCGTGTGTCACCAAAAGGAATTCAAACAGGCCTCGGACTTATATCAACAGCTGCCTTCGCTAGCCCTATACTGAAGATCATATGGCCAGTCTCAAAAAGGATAAGCAAAAAGGGACACTGCGAACCAACCAACCATCAACCTATTGCCCAACAAATAAGCCAAAGAAAGTGAGAATGTGTCTGACACACGCTAAGGAGACTGTCAAGTGATATAATACGCCTGACAATCCCTTGAATGGAACCTGAGTGGGTGGGTGTGGATCCAACGGAACCCACCCACCCCCCGTGAGAAGGAAATGAGGACTTATCGGCCAGCGTGGAATCAGCTAAAGAGAACTTGCAGAGAACACAGTAAAATTGAGATGTGTGCTGTTCATGCCCTATGTTAAATTTGGGACCTAAAGGAATAATAGTAACCAAAATACTTAAACGTCAATATCTAGCTAAGATTTAAGAATGTTGTCACCACACAAATGTACCAACAAACTCTTTCAGAAGTTATATCAAGAGCTTGCTACATGTTAATCTGAAGTTCATCTCTAATACTTAGGTCGCGCAATTTGACTGCAGAATTCAACTAATAACGAGAAAACTCTTTGATTATATAATAAACTGTCAAGATCTATAAAAGTAACCGTTTTCAGAATGTTATTAATGCTACCAATTGTCGTGTCGTCTAGTCCACTAGTTAAACACCCAACATTTCGCAATGGGTGCAAGGTTAAAACCTGACTCCTCCTACTTACACCTGAACAACAGGTTAGTATGATTAGCTCTTACACAACATAGCGAATTTTCATCTTCGGACGAAATCTTAGTACACATACGAAAGACGTGTCTTTCATTTATCAACTTAAATTACACCTCTAGCGTAGACATGACAGCCAACTATCGCGGAAAGGACGTATGAGCTACACAGGTATGGGCTGCAGCGCACGGCGAATGAGAATGGAAGATAGGCAAGTGCTAACCATTTTAGGTATAAGTGTTTACATTCTATCCACCCAAGTTAAATGGTGCAATGTGGTGAATAATATTGACATTAGGTGCAAAGAGGTAGAGACATACAGAAAGACAGGCTCAGTGAGGTTGTGAAGATGCATCGATTGAAATGGCTAGGACACGTTTCACACATGACAAACTATCTCCTTCCTCACTGAGCTTTATTAAGTCGCATAGGATTGGACTGAAAAAAGTTAGGTGGAAGTGATTAACCCAAAACGTGGTATCAATCCATGAAGCCTTTGACTGTTGACTTGAGCCATGTAGGGAACACAACAGGCGGCTACCAAGTTGGGGACATTGCGAAGCTAAGACTTGGTGAAATTCAAGTGTTGGTTTGCAGAGATTTGATTTGATTGGTTACAGAATTTCATCATGAGCTGATATACGTTAGAGAACCATTAGAAAGCCTGGGAGTACTGAAAAGATGTTTCGTCAGACTAGTTTGGGGCCCTTCAGCAGTACGCGCCCATAGCCAGGGTTTGAACCCAGGACCTTCCGGTTACAAAGCAAGTTCGTAGACCATTAAGCCACAGGAACTCGATTTAATGGCCAGCCGCCCATGAATTCCAAATTCTCTCAATTTACGATCACTAGCCAATGTCATCGGCGATATGGTTCAAAATTGTAGTACTCAATGACGAAGATGCATTCAATCTTTGCAATCCCTTAGATTCATTTAATTTTTCATGTTTTTCTCATGTTACTATTCTTTCTCCTGTTAACTTTTGCTCCTTATATGATCTCTCTAAATTTCATTTTTCCTCCCTTTCGTCTACTTTTGTGTGCTGCCAGATGGTGTGTGGCAAGTTGAACTGGTACACTACTGATGCAAAGTTCTACGTGGAAACTTAACCTGTCAGTCAGCAAATAGAGAATATGTTTACATATCACTTAGTTTCACTTAAGTGCTACACTAGTTTCAAGCCAACTGCGTCAGTATATATATGGACAAATGTACCTGTTAGACAGACATTTGACTAACTATTTAGCATATAATACAGAATAGTAGTAGTATCTACCTCTAATGGTAGCACCCATGACCAAACTTAAACGACACATTGGATCAATACTTATAATGAATAATGTATACCTACCTATCTACCTACGCTACACATGATAATTTAACAATATAATAGTGAAGGTGCGTAAATATACAAAATGTGCAGTTTTTTAGAAAAAAAATTAGAACCAATACTTATTTATCTAAAAGTAGATAAAAAACATGATAGGTAAACTCTTATTCAGATAAATAAACTATTGGTAGCACACGTATGCATATATTTTCACGGATACAGAAGGCTCGTTTCGCATATGCCTGCCAACTAACGCCATCTCTGGCTTAGTAGACGTGATATCCGGTAGCCTATCAACCAAAGGGCGTGTGTACTGCTCAGCAGTTCTCTCTATCCCCCTTTATGGCTGTGAGACAGGCTTGTTGAAAGTGGAAGATATGAAAAACCGTGCTAGCTGGCTGTCTTTAACCATAGGTGTCTGTGTTCCACCTCCTGTTTTAGGTAGTAGGTATAATACAACGATCGATATTGAGGTTAAGCTTCGATCGAGTGGTATGTAGGGAGGGGAAATCAATCGACGAAGTTGTGAAGCAGCTGCATCGATTGAAATAGTCAGGACATGTGTTACGTATGCCTAGCCATCAGTCGCCTTCCTCGACGGGCAGTGTTAGCTGACATAGAATTGATCAGGTTAGAAAAGAGAAAGCTGGTAGTGGTCAAACAAAAACATGGCTTCATCTGTCATTGAAATCTACAACAGTTAGTTTAAGTCAGCTGTCACGTAGGTAAATGTAGACTTCTTGACTGGTCGGGATCCTCGGGATGATAAAAACCAATGGTGGCTGGAGAAAATTGGTAATATGATTGAAAATCGTTGTCAATGACTACTGACTGGCACAGATACATCCACCCTTCGTGGCTTACAATATCCAATAAAATTCCATTGTTCTTCCCCATATTACTATTCTTTTTGCTTCATATCTCTGTTTAGCACCTTTCTTTTGAATAGTAATATGGAAGAACAATAGAATTTTATTGGATAGTATAAGTCACGAAGGGTGGATGTATCTGTACCAGTCAGTCATTGACAACGATTTTCAATCATATACGAGGGGAATACTCAAGCATAAAAATTTTATCAAACAAAAAGGGATATGTGCATATGCTAGATTGCTTCACAAATAGCCTTCTATACAACAGGGAAGTTATAAATTGACCAACATTTTCAATTCCACAGAATAGTATATATATACATATATATATATATATATATATATATATATACCAACGGAAAATTTTGTGAAAGTGGCCACCAGCTCAAACGCCTACACTTTTAGATGCACAATTGACCATTTTATCAAAGAAAAATTGATGACTATTAGTGAAGCAAGACAAACAGTGTGGAAATCTGTTGTGATCAACACAAGGAACAAGATCCAAATTTTCAACACTATATATATATAAGCTTTTAGAACAATTCCTGAATATTAGACGACTTCATATTCGGATCAAGGTGAATGACGAACAAAGTAAAACGATACTGTTAGATTTGAGGATGCATATTTGTATCAATGCACATGAACATCTATGAATTACAAGAGGATAATCGAAATTCAACCCTGTAAGTATCAGTATACCTCTACTGGGGGGTAGCAATCTCTAACGGGACTTTGTATTTCAACGGCCAGAAAAGAAGTTAGGTATTGTTTGGAATGATTGAGAATTAAGCGTCCTGTATGATAAATATAAACCTTGCAGATTTCTACCTAATTATCATTCAGAATACTACAAAGAATAAACACCAATCAGAACTCTAGTGTCTCCTCATTTGCGGATAGATCTTCCTCCTTTTTTTAGTTTCTCCTTATAAAATCAAAACTGGTTACAGGATTTCATCATGAGCTGACATTGGTTACAGGACCATTGGAAAACTGGCTAGGAGTACTGGACGACTGTTTCGTCCTAGTTCGGGACTCTTCGGCGTAAGCACCCACCGCCAGGGTTCGAACCCAGGACCTTCTGGTTACAAGGCAAGCTCGCAGATCAATAAACCACTGGAACCCGATTCAATGGCCCATGAATTCTAACTTCTGCCAATTAACAATATAGCGCAACCGCTAGCCAATGTCTTTGGCGAGTATTTGTCCTCACACCCGATCTGCTGCACCCTATTGGTCACGACTTCCCGCTAGAACCCCGAGTAACTACCTACCTAAATAGAGCCAGTTGCCAGTGAGCATCTTACTGATATCCAAGTATTGGTTTGTAGGGATTTGGTTGATTGGTTACAGGATTTCATCATCAGCTGAAGAGTCCTAAACCAGTGCGAAACAGATGTCCAGTACTCCCAGGTTTTCCAGTGGTTCTCTAACCAATATCAGCTCATGATGAAATCCGGTAACCAACCAACCAACCGTATCTCTACACACCAATACCTGAAAATCAAAATTATTCACACCACAGTAGTGTGCTTAGTTTGTTTGATACGATACATGGCAATCAAGAAAGCAAGCATAAATGCGTAAGACTGACTATACATACTACTGATTGATTTAAGTGAGGGGAAACAGACAACTTACATGAATACTTGGATGATAAGTGAGACGAGCATCATCAGTTAAGGTCACATATTTCTTTGTTTTCCATTCTTTGCTCAGTGGTTTACAAGTTCGTTTATATAAAAATCCCTGAGAAACAAAAAACAAAAAAGGGAATAATTGAATAAAAGGTTACAAATTACAAAGTCTGCACACACACACACACGCACGCACACATACTGTCTATCTGCTTTCAACATAGGACTTTGCACCGATGTGCAGCAGCTCAAGTCGCCACACTCTACGTAGCATACAAAGCATGAGAAGAAAGTAGAAGAAATGCATACTAGAGATAGTAGACGGGGATATGAGATAACAGGAATAGTAATAACGAAGAATATAGTTTCATTGGAAATTATAAATCACAAGTCTCCAACCATTGGTTTTTATCATCCCGAGGACCCCAACCAGGTAGTCTACACCTTCCTACGTGGCTTAAACTAACTGTTGTGGATTTTATTGACTGATGAAGTCATGTTTTAGTTTGACCACCACTAGCTCTTTTCCAGCTTGACTCTATGTCAGCTAACGTCGCCCGTCGAGGAAGGTGATGACTAGACATACGTAACACATGCTCTGACCATCTCAGTCTACCTAACTTCACAGCCTCGTCTACCGATTTCCCCTCCTTACCTAGCACTCCACCGAAGCCAAACCCTCAATATTACTCACCCTATTATACCACTCAACACGGGAAATAGAAAGCAGAGACCCTTGATGAATTACAGCTAACCTGGCTTTTAATGTCTTCCACTCTCAATAGTCAGGTCTCACAGCCATAAAGGCGGACGAAGCGGACTATTGAGCAGTACACAAAACCTTTGGTTGATAGGCAGTCGGATATCACGTCTACGCCAGAGACGACGTAAACCGGTATATGCGAAACGAGTCCCTTTCGTATCCGTGCTGAAATTTCGTCAGCAACTCCCCGAATAAGTGAAGTGATCAACGCGTTCTACCATTTGACTCCTTATTTCTACGCTAGGAATCAATGTAGTCCAGTCATGTAACATCACCTTACATTTGGCGGTAGCGAATCGCATGCCAAACATTCGTACACGCAAAAGAACTCCACTTTCGCATTCTTTTCAGCAGCAGAAGGCTTGTCAACCACTGGAATGCTCCAGGATTCAATCCCCGGCAAACATACTCCTAAAACACCTTGCTCAGTCGGTAGTAAGGCCGATTAAGAGAGAAGCATGGGGTGTTAGGCAAGCACAACTCCGCCCCATAGAAATAAAAAACCACTGCTACTGAAACTTCAGAGCTGACGCTTGAAGCTGTGTATTCCACTCAGAACGTAAAGGAATAATACAAATGAACAAGAAACAACCTCCGAAAACGATCCTTTATAACCAGTGAGAAGAAAGATAAATCAACAATTTGACAAAATAAAAAATAAAATGACAGAATTAATTCGAAAATATAAATGCCCAGAAAAAGCAATTCTCCAAGATATCATAAAATATGATTCGACTTGTCACGGCAAGACTTCAAGTGAACACACAGAGAAGACGGTGGTAATACGGTATCCAACCAAAAGCAAGAACAACATGCACCAATTGCCGTCAACGGCAGAAGTTTGAGAGAAGTCACTTCTTCCACTTATTTATCTCGGCAGCTGCATCATTTCAAGTACAGAGAGAACTGATAAGAATGTCAACGACAGGCAGGATAGGCAAAAAGTGAGACAAACCTTCATTAGGCTAAAATCAGTATGGCAATCGGATGGATTTAGCATAAGGAACAAGATTCAAACTTTCACCACTTATGTCAAGTTAGTCAGTGCTTCTACATAACTCAGAGATTTCGTGCGTGCGCCTCAGGTTAAGAACCTCCAAAAGCCTACTGCAGACTTTCATAAACAGATGCCTTCGCTGACTCTATACTGAAGATTAGATGACCAAAAACAGAAAGGATTAGAAACAAGGAACTCCAGAAACGAAACAACCAACCCACCAGCAACAACCTATCTCCCAAGAGGTAAGTAGAAGAAAATGTTCATGGATTGGACGTACACTGAGGAGACTGTTGAATGAAATCATGCTCCAGACCTTAGAGTGGGACATGACGAGTTGGGGGCATGGGTCCGATGGTAACAGGTAGATCACAAAAGGAAGAAATGCGAGGTTATAGGCAATTGTAGAACCAGTTATAGAAGACTGCAAAGAAGAGAGTGAAATGCAGATGTTCTGTTAAAGCCCCTTCTGTTTTAGTCGTAACCCAAGGGGAATAATAATAATAACTTACGTAGATACACACACAGGGTATCATTTCAATTCTGACAACCAAATGAACATGTCACACTAGATGACAAATGTGACTCAGTTAAAAACTGTTTTACATCAAATAAACAAAAGGAGCAATTCGTGTTAATATTGGCAATAAAAATTATCCTTCTTTGAACGCATCTAAGACCGAATTTCATTTGTAATGTAAGTATATCACTCTAATTCGACTCTAACATATGACATTAACTAATAGACCAGCATATGTCTTTTAAAAGCAAGCGAATACATTAGATATCGTTTTCATATGTTCTTATTATTACACATGGATACAGTAGCACAACATCTGCACTATATACTATGTTCTCCGGCATCTTTTTTAGCTGGCTCCATCCACAGCTGTTCGCAGGCGTCTACTTCCTCCTCACACATACGAACTCCTCCATGTTATGCCATCGGACGCGAAACTCCTCGTTTCCCATTCAGGTTTCATTCGAAGGCCAGTCTAGTCGGTGTGTGATTTTCCAACTTGGAAGTCTCCTCAAAATATTATCCACAACCCACCTACATTTTTTTCTTGGATATTTGTTGGTCAATAGATTGTTGATTAGTCTCGGGCCAGCTAAACTTCGTTGCTGTTTATCCTTTCAAGTCATCCGATTTTTAGTTGTTGATAAAACTCTACAATAGTCTGTTGATAATACTTTCGCTGACGCATGCGCTCGCCAAGTCCCTGAACCACACATAAACACATACTGACCTGACAATTACTTTTAAAAACTATAGATTCTCAACAGATTGTAAAATAAGACGAAATGCGGTGGTTTTTAGACTCAAAAGAAGACTGGATCTGAAGGGAAGACAGGCACTTATTTAATACTATATATATATATATATATATATATATATAATTCCCTTCGGTACGAAGTGGAACATCTCCACTTGGTTCTATTTTCTGCAGTCGTCTTCAGTTGGGTCTCAGATTTCCGCGAATCTCTCATCTCCTCGTCGCCTAGTTTACTAACTTGCTAATTTTCCAGCCGGTCCCAAGCCCGGGTAAAGAAGAGGAGTTGGGTGTGGGCCTAGCGACCCTACCCCCGGAAAACCAACCAAACTCCTACAGAGAATTCAACGCAAAATCAAAAAAAAATATTAAAAATACAAACCTAAATATATCTTGTATTAGTGCAAATTGTAAAGCTTATTTGTGCACTCACTTGTTTCAGAGGGATAGCACGACCACTTCCTATCCCATTCAACTTCTTTTCTCTTTCTCGTTCATCGTCGTTACGTTTTTGCTGGAATTTGAGCGCGAAAATAAAAAAACAACAACAAAAGTGAGAAATATAGCAAGAAGTGTGTGTGTGCGTGTATAACCGCATATAGACGGCTGTAAAGATAAATCACCTAGTTACTATGGCATAACTGCTGTGTATACTTATACAACGAAAAATGAAGCCAATGGAATAGGTGCACTATGCGTAAGTGAAAGATGATTTCTGTATGTAGAATGCAGTAAATTAACAAAAGTAAACAAAAAACAATACAAGGCAATCCATCTAACTGAGGGATATCTAGGTATTAGCCTTTGCTGCAAAACTTTCTACAACCAATGAGACTGCATACCACAAATACTAATCCCGACTCCATGCAGTTAGCAATAAGTGCTCACAACTATTATATGCGGGTTAGTGATAGTATACCCAGCCTAGTTGCCCAAACCACCGTGATAAATGGATCTGGGTTTGAAACCGTAGTTGGAAGTTGAGCGCTTAAAACCAGTAAGCCACAGCTCCACAGTACATAATATTAGTGAAAATATCAGATAGTTAGCATCATTTCAAAAATTAAATGGAGTTTAGTGTCAGATGAAAATGACAAGAAATGCAAATTGTTTTCAAAAATTATCAAGTTGACAGACAGATAAGAAATGACTAAAACTACCCATTTTAAGTTCTTTTGACTTTTCAGCTTTAATTTGCGTAAGACTTCCAGTAAAGTAAACATTTATGAGTCAGTGCTGTATGAAACTGATTAGTGTATCTGTGTGATCAGTGAATCCTGTTTACAACTAAAGTGACAGTATAAATATGTCTGTAGGCGCATCGATGGTTCAAATGATAGAACGTTCGCCAACCACACACGTACGCGGTCCGAATTCGATTCGCCGACGCCGACGTACTACTCTTGAACATCACCGATGAACCGGCATCAGTAAGGCTGGTAAGGACGTAAGGTTGGACGTTAGGCTAGCAACCCCTTCCCATAAAAGTAGTACCACGACAGCTACTGAGACCTCAAAGCTCAAGCATAAATCCCCATATTTCACGCCTAATCTCCCCTTCCTTACCCGGTTTAATACTGGTTGAGCGAGGTTTGGGAGTGCGTCGGCCGGGAATTGAACTCCTGACCATGTCGTTGGTTGGTAAGCGCCATACGGCTGAACCACCGATGCATTTTTCAGAATTAAGTTATTATTATGTACGGTTAGCTAGAACTCAGCTATTCGAACTAATAGCTACAATTATTGTGTGAGGGCTGGTGATACTATCCAGTTGGCCACGCTGACATACGTGAGACGGGGCCCGGACCTAGGACTCACTGGACGAAAGTCGACTCCCATTAGCCAACGGACTACACATCAACAAATACGGCGAAATACACTATATATATATATATATATATATATATATATATATATATATATATATTGGTTATCGCATTACATTCTCATTAGTTTGCACAGAAGTAAACTATTTAACTCTTTTTAAACTGAATGACATCAAAAAATGCATAGAATGATTAAAACAACAAGAAAGAGTGGAAATGGAAGAAAATCATGGTATAAATAATCCCAAAGAATAAGGCAAACGCTGTAAAGGTGGTAGGTAAGACCAAAATCTAGCTTCAAAAGTGGACGTGAACTTCCACATATTCTCTGAGCAATAATGATGACAAAATAAGTGAGTTGATAACTTAAAACACATGACAAAGTTGAAGTTCCTTGATTTAAGCATATGATTTTGCAGCTAAAGGGGTTTCTGGACTCAACCAAGCTCAAAACAAATGATTATCAACTAATGACAGGATTTGGCCTAAAACACGATATGTCACAATAGAATCGTATCAGGTAACATAGTCTTATTGGTTGATATCAAAGTTCCTAAATGCATCCGGTTAAATTACAATCTATTTACTGAACATTTCAACAACCACTTGTATTCTCATATAATTGACAATAGGCCCTACCTACTTGTATGGGGCTTAGTGATACTGACTGACTACTACCTACATACCAGTGGGAGGAACGGGCTTCTAACCGTGTGAACCAGCAGTTGAGAATGGGATGTTTAAAACAGCGCGCCACAATTCAAGTCAACCATCCTAGAGAATGAGTGATTCATCTCTCTGCATAGTAACTATTCCGTTACTTATTTCATATTGCCTAAGCTATTCTTTGATATTTGATAGTGAATATATTATTACTTCGAATGGACACTAGTAACTAGTGCAATGTGTCTAGTCCTTTCTTCGATGCAGACTGAACTCTGTCAGTTAGGTTTGCAATGTAGCCACTATTCTAGGTAGCTCGCCATCACGGTGCACATTGATTCGATGATATTAGATGATTGGAGGCAATCAGCAGGAAGCCTTGGACTTTGGGTTTCGTGCTAATTGGCACTCACCAGTCAGCAAGGCGTATCTGCAACCTTGAAGGGACTCATGTCCCTTCTGAGATTCAAACCCGCGTCACCGGAGAAAGGACTAGACACATCACAACAGTTACTAGTGTCCAATCAAAGTATCCACTACAGTCCTACAGGAGATCAGTCGTAAGCCCGAATAGCTCAGTGGTAACGTCTCCGAATGCATGCAGCAATGGATGATGCGGGTTCGAATCTCAGAAGGGACATGAGCTCCTTCAAGGTTGCAGATAGGCCTTGCTGACCGGTAAGTACCAACAAGCAAGAAACCTAGGACCAAGGCTTCCCGCTGATTGCCTCCAACTATCTAATATTATCATTTCATTAAAAAGCACTATGATGATTCACGACCGGATATTAACTTTCAAGAACAACCTCAAACATTATGCATCATGAAATGAAAATTATAATAACTCATCTGTCAAGCAAATATGCTTTTTAACTTTATAAAAGCCATGGAGATATTACGAAAAAAGTGATAAAGGAGAAAGTTATTACATAAAATTTCCCTCCATAAACAACCTGGTAGGGCAGAGGGTCGATAGACTTGAGTCTTTCTTTCAGAGTGCTGTCATGAGACTTTGCATGCGTTCATAGCCTCAGCCAAGTAAGTCTTATTCGGTGACTTCACGCGGGCCAGGTGTTCCTCACAAAAGTAAAAGGATGAATGCGAAACGTCTGGAGCTTTTAAACACCAGACTGATGAACACGCTGATCTACCGAGAACAGCTGGGAAACGCTGAGTCCAAACCTATGGTAGTGTATATAGATTCCAGAATCTAGGAGGGTTGAATGACGTATGAACCTGTTTCGGTTACTGAAAACCATTGGAACGCAACTCGTGAAGATGCTCTACTACCTTGTAGATCAGAATTCAAGTCAAAGGCTTGGGGATGAGGCGACGCTTTAAGACAACCACCACCAGCACGCGTCTATGGGTCTGGGTAGTATCTGAGTCCTAGTACAACAATGAATTTAATATCATACTTCTAATGCAATAACTTTCACCTTTGCCAATTATCCAGAGTGATCACAAGAAAGGGATACCAGTAAACAGTAAGCACACAACAACGCCTAGCCCATTAGAATTTATTTTTGGTGTAAGTTATGAGAATATATATGGTGAAAAAGTTAACATTCATCTGATAGTAAGACACCTCTCTCATGGACAACTATCAACCCGCTCCACCCCACTCCCACCCACACCTCATTAAATCCAAAACCCAAAAACGCACAAACAAAAGAAAGTCTTAAAAAACACAGCTTACAAATAGATTGGATTTTCGTCTATTCTTTCGTGAATGTGTTGGAGTACTGCTAGGTGTAAGTGATTCGTTATTTTCAGCCTTATTATTTTCCTAAATTAGAAACAGAAAAATATTTTTAAAAGGATGGATATATCTTATTTGAGATATATTTATTTATTTACTTATTTATATAAAGTCGTAAGCCGTGCAAGCTAGTAAGTAAGCAGCGATATTTTTACAACTAAATATATTCATATGATATAAAATTAGGGGGGATTTTATCAGAAAAGAATGATTTTGGTTACCCGATGAATCATGCTGAGAAAAACCAAATGCAAATCATGATTATGATTATGATAATAATAACAATAACCAAATAGTATTATTATTGTGGATGACAGATTGCAGTCATTCTAGGAAATTAATTCAATCTAAATCAAGCGAAGAACAACGCGTGCAAGGGGGGAGGGGAAGAAGCAGTAGAAGTGGTGAGCGCATGCGTTCCATTTTTTTACAGCACAAGACTTACAGCAGCTACTCCTCCTTCAACCCCCAATCCAAAAGATGAGACACTACTAGCTGCAGCAAGAGCACCTGATGGAAAATTTGGTGAAATTGAAGGTGGTAGTGGTGGTGGAGAATGCCCAACGGTAAAATGTGTTGGTGCAGAGAATGACTGTGGTGTGCAGACTCTTATTACTGAACCATTTTCAGAATTTGCAACGGAAGATAAAGATGGAGTCGGTGGATGATACAAAGCTTTTCCGCTACCACTGTATTCTGAATACATGTGTGGTGGATATGACTGAAAGACACTTTCTGAATATTCTGTCGGTATGTATTCTGGACAACGTAACAGAGGGTGTTGATATTTTCCATCAAACAAAAAAGGGTGAGTAGCCCAATCGTCAGCACTAGAATCTACAGAAGTGATACTAGGCCTAACTGGTTTCACATCTCCTCCTCCCCCGAAGAAATGTTCCCGTTCATACGGCCGAAAATCCAAAGTTAATGAATGTTTTGCAAGACTTAGGAGGTTAGGTTTAGCTGAATTCACAAGTGTTTGATGTAAACCGGAATCCTGAGGGATGATAAAATAAAGTATTATTGGCAAACAAACAACACTTTGAAACTAGTAAAATACTTTCTGTGTACGTCTCTCTCTCTCTCTCTTTAAAAATGACTAAACCAATAGGTGTATAAACTATGCAGATATTATGTTTTGGCAAAACTAAATGTCCTGGCATAATTAACTATTGCAAAATACTAACAAAACCTAGTTACAAAAAAAACACCTGTAAAACTAAAAACTGGACAAAAACAATGTGACACAAAAACCCACCACAAAAGAAAAACAAACAACAGCATTAGAAGATTTTGCCTACAGATTAATTAATTAAGAGTATTGTACAAAGCCAATTTACAATAATACAGTTGCCAAATGTACAACACAGCACTACAACTGCACAATAAGTATACAAGAGAAGTGCATTATTTTTCTCAAGTCCAAAACTTTCATAACGCAAAACTGGAGTAACCATTGTTGTGAATCTAGTCCTCAATGATGGTGTAGACTAAATTCTAAAAAGTTCAAGTTTGTAATAACATGGTCACCCTGAAATGATATCAGACGGTTGAAGGCAATCAATAGGAAATCCTTTCTGACCTAGGTTTTCTGCATGTTGGTAATCGTTAATCGTGAGATCGAATAGCCCATGTATCTGACTCTGGTACTGATTAAGGCGAGTTCAAATGCAAGAAGCATGAGTTCTCTTAAGACTGAAGACACACATGTCTTGCTGACAAGTGCCAACAAGGATGAGTCCTAAGTCAAGGGATCCCTGTCGATTGCCTCCAACCATCTAGCATCGTGGATATCTAGAAGTAACAGTAGTAGTAGATGCTGCTGAATAACCCTCATGTATATTTCCACAGATTAAAATACATCTAGAGACCTATTGTGAACACACGAACGAGCAGTACAAACAGCTATTCCTTACTGACACTGACTGGGCCTATGTATACAATAAAAACATACATTCAGGTTCATACTAATTAGTCACTTTAACAGCTGCAAGAGAAAAAAGTGACAGCAAACAGTGTCAAGACAAGATGAGTAATTCAAAAATACAAATCATATTTTTACTTCATTGAAATCAAGTTCAAAGCCAGGAGTGCTATGAGTATCTGGACGACGATTTGCAGGATTATGTGGTGAGAATATTGTTCGTTCTTTCTTATCCAAGCCACTTGTGATACAATTATTAACCACATTACAGTTAGTGCCCTGGAAGTAAAACATAGAAAGTAGACCAGGTAACCCCGAGAAAATAATTTTACGCAAGATACCGTTCTCTCGAGGATTGCTTATCATAGAAGAAAAAATCCAATAGAAAGGAAATAAAGGAAAGGGTGAAAGAAAGAAAGACGAGAAGGTCGAGCCTGGTTAACACAGCTTCTGACACTTCTTCAGTGCCTTGCCTTGTGGATCAGACTTTAAATAAAAGTCTTGGAGGGAGCAGCCCCATAAAACAACCATCTGCTTCGGTCTGGAGGGGATGGGCAGTATCCTAGCCCTCGTACAAACTGAGATTTTGTGTGGCGCATTTCACAGTGCCCACAATGTATCAGGAGTGTTTTAATAAATATAGATGATAAATACTTTCATGGAAATCTAGAAAACACAAATAACACCTCAAAAAAGAAACGCTTTCAACCTAGGAAATAAGAATACTCCACAGTTATTATTTGGTAAAAACACAACAAAGATGTACCACAAAGTTTGATATACCTTAAATTTAACCATAAACGTTTCACAATTTTAGATTTATATTTTTTCAATGCAAATTTGCTTCTAAATACTCTAAAATTGTAAACACTGAAATCAAGATAAATTGATAACCATAAGATGCATTTATGATATTACTGCAAACCGTTTCATCAAGAAAACCACACTGAACACAACAGCAATGTCCGTACTCCACAATGTGCAACACTCAAACAACACTTCAAGACCGTTTTTAGGTACCTGTTACACAATAAGATGGATCCGAAAAATCGAAAAATGATTAAAAATAGTTATTTTATAGTGTTTTCGGGTTCACCTCGCAGGGCCTTAGAGACTCACAAACAAGTGCTATTATGAACAACTGACTTATATGACTAATACTAGCGTCAGTAATATAACATCTCAAGACGTAAACCAAATGATCTCCTAAGTCGACTGTTATACATCACAGTCAGAGAACAACGAAGATAACTAATTCAAGGAAATATTTAAAGACAGTGATTGCATATGTGGAGCACACTTGTGTTTTGGAAGATTGGAATACATAAAAAGGATTGTGACATTAAGTTCTCCAATGTAACAGTCTCGCACTTGTTCTCCTGATATGACCATAGAAAAACAAAGCGATTATCTCATAGGCTTAGTCACAGAAAGTTATGATGATCAACTTACAATAAAAAAGCTATCGAATCTAGTATTGCATGCGAGAGGTCTGTATCACTCAGTCTAAAGAGCTTCGGAAATATGAATTTCTTGAAGGTTGTAAGTGTAAACATTCAAGTAGTACTGGTCTCACAAGGTTTTTTACATACTGATTCTTTACACCAGGCATCGAATTAGTGATCGTAGATTTCGACAGTGTCGCACCACTGAGTCAAATGATAACAAACAGCACTATGGATAGCCGTGGCAACTCGAACTCCTGCACTTCGGTGCCAAGTTCTATGTTGAATCCAGACACAGACAGACTATGGATAGCATTCGACCAATACACCCACGATAGAACAACACCATTGCTTATCATTCGGAACCCGCAAACAGATCACTTAATAACAATACTAAACAAAGTAGTCTCAACTTCTCAGCTCTAGTAGTGAAACCAATCATTCAGGTCATTTTGAATTTTGCTACTCAATTAATGCTGACAATACGAATGCTCGAAATATTGCGTAATCATGGCTAATGAAGAAAAACCATCGAAAACTAAGTTTGGTGTCAGTACTGACATGGACGATTGCTAATGAAAACAGAGCACGGAGGACAGTGAGATACTATAACAGGCCGTGTTTTGCATGATAGTCTGTCACATCACTAGACAGTACGCAGTTACGACCAAATGGTTACGAGATACTTCCGTAATGAGCTCCATGGGGAGACCATACAAATGTTTAATACGCAATAAGCTCTAATTACACGCCCCAGATCGAACTGACTAATGGAAACGCAACCTCAAAATTACGCTCCAGCGGTCTAAACTATATTCAGATGTCTGAGACATTCACACGTCCATTTTAGGACGATGATAACATGATAAGACGTTCAATTTTACTCCATTTTGCGAAACAGTAGGACGGATTTCTCAATTTATGATATTTAGGACGGCGGAAAGTAACACATACCTATGATAGTTCTAAATTATGAAAGGCTCACAAATAACATTAGGGAGCTTTATGTACCTGTATAATTACGAACATTTTACAGTAAATGAAATGGACACTGTTGCCTGATGGTGTCTCCAAAAGGCTGAAATACTCCAATAAAAACAGTATGAAAATTTAGTTCGTGAGTCAGTCTACATTTTAGTGGCATTAAAAATATAAACCGAGAATCTGAAAAGCATAAGTAACCCTTTCATTTTGAAATAACAAACAAACTACCTATCATTCTAAAACCTGATGTATTAAAGACACTACCGTAAGTGGAAATGACGCTGTAACATATTGCTCCAATAAAAAAGTACTAACTACCACAAGCTCACACAATTATAGAATGTGCTTGAAAACTAGGAATGAGCATGGTTCATGATTACGATATGAATTTTAACTACGGGTCAATTGTACTAGTAGTTTTAGCAACTCAATCAAAAGGGTGAACGGTATTCATTAAAACTCCAAATTAGTAAATCACAAAAAGATGTTCAACACTGGGAACAATTACAGTAGGATTTAAACCAAAAATATGTACTACTGATGAATTAAGCTACGAATATTAACGCCAAACAAGAGTTGATGTCAACATAAACATAAAATACCAAAAGAAATGGCCACGAAGAGATAAAAGAAACCATTTATGTTAATTTGTGAAATGCGTAAATGAATGGACTTACAGGGTTTTTCACAATAGTAGGACCTTCCCGAGCATTAACAGCATTAGAAAATAATGATTGTTGAGACTGACTAATGCCCACTAGAGGTGCACCCTCAACAGGACTGTTAGCACATGGTCTCTGTTGTGAATTTGATGATAACTGTGGTGTAAGAGGTCTTGGAACAGGCGAATTACTAGAAGTGCGTAACTGAAGTATTTTTAGGCATGCTATAGCATAAATTAAAGTAAATTTTAATTACCATCTTGGAAAACCCGTTCTACATTCAAACCGTAAGCTGCACATGTTTCATAGTAGGCACAGCGCTTAAGATCACTGGCTAGCTTTCGGGCTCGAGCGTCATCAATTACTCGTACATACGGTTCGCAATTAGAATCTTAAAACAATAAATAGAGTAATATGACAAGACATACCTTGGGTTCCAACAAGCATCATAGGTAAATTGTTAGTGTTCCTGTAGGTCGAAAGGCGAGCGTAATAATCGTAGACAGTCTGATAACTTTCGACGTTTTCCAGGCTAAACACAAATATAACACCATCAATCCACTGACTAAATTGAAGATCGGGAGGACCACCCTCATCGCGAATCAGCAGCAAGTGACTTTGATTATCTAAAGATAGTTCTTTCTTGAACCTTCCACCTTCTGGAGATTCGTCATGAACATAGGCTCCAGTAAGATATCGATGCACTAATGCAGACTTCCCACTTTGAACAGAACCGAGCAATCCCTAGAATATGATATGATTTATACGGAATATACTTACCAGCTTGATTCCTGGGACAGCATTACTTAGAGTCCATTCCTGACTATTGACAAAAGCATCTAGAATACAGGTAAATCAGCGACTGTATAGAATACCTTCAATCGATACAACTAATTGACGTAATGACTCGGCTATATTTTTATCATCAACCGCATCGATAAGATCGTATATAGCATAGATATTAGGATGGACACTCTCAAACCGTATTATTTCTTGTCTGATAGCATTTGATATGTCATTCAGTGATGACTGAGAGCCCATACTGTAAAACCCTCCACCATTAGCTAATTTTCAAACGTAGCGGTATGCAAAAACACTCGTTAGAGGTCAACTTTTGTTAAATGTAATACTGCCTCCAACTTCAAGATGAAATAGTGTTTGTAGTCTCTCTGATGAGTAAATTGTTCATTATTTGGCAGATGAACAAATTTAACCTTTATAATGTTATCTTTTCAACTATGTCATCATCCATTATCACCAAATCACGAAAAGTTTCTGGTACCATTCCACAGTAAGTTACATCAAGCATTTTGTCTGTAATTTCCAAGAAGCATTTCAGCCCTTTGAGACAAGAGAAATCCCATTTATCGGCCATCGGCATTCTCCTCACATGACTTCTTGATAAGATGATTATATCAATCTCATTGAACGATACTCGGAAAATAACCAATATGCGCCGTTTGATTCAGAACTAGATGTTTCTGTCCATTACTTTAAGTAACTTCTGAAGGTAAATAAACCCTGACGATGCAGATTCCGATTATGAGAACAGAATGTTCTTGTTGCCTATGTAAGTCGTTGCGATATATATCTCTGCAGAGATCTAGTTTCTCTTTGAAAGCGTTCACTAAAGGAGCTATTACTACTGAATCAGGTAAGGAGTTCCAGTTTTTGACCACTCTGCGAGAGAATCTAAATTCCACGTGTATTTTTCGGCCTCGATCTGAGCACCTTTTTGTGGTGACTTCGTAAACAGATCCTAAATACAGAGAGAACGTTAGAAAGGTCAATCCCTAAATCACCCTTTAGTAGACTGTAAGCTAAAATTAAGTCGCCTCTCTTCCTTCGGTATGATAATGGGAAGAAATTTAAATGCTTCATCCTCTTTTCATAAAGAAGGTGTGAGATACCACTAGCTAATCTGGTTCTTACCCTGTGTATTCTTTCCAGGATATGTGTCTCCTTTTTCAAGATGTACTCACCGCTTGTGTTCAGTATTCTAGATGAAGTCTGACATATGCTCCAAAAAGTACTTGAGACTGTAGCCGTAAACAATTCCCCAAAATTATTGACCACAGCAATCACTCACCATTGGATGCTGACCACCACTGTTTAAGTCGACTTGTTTAGCTGAAGGCTTCCGGTCAAGCATCCCCACCATTTGGTACCCCGTCGTGTCACGTGCACGATCACTAGCTAGCTAAGCGTTCGTCTGAAGGCTTGTTTTTGTACCAAAATATACCACGAAGTTTGGACGATCAAATATTGGCTTTTGCTTTGTTTTCGGTACGCGAGAATAATTTATAGGCTGTGTAAGAGAATTCCGTCAACCAATAAAAGTCCCACCCTCGTCTAAACGTTTGAAAGCCCATTAAAGTCCTCATCGCATTCTAAAAGCCTTCGTCAAAATCAGCCGTTGTTTTTAAGTAATGGCTTACAATAATTTCGAAGTCCGTTTGTAAATTTAGTTGAAGATTGAACGATCAATTCATGGTTGTTTGCTCAAAACCAACTTCCCCAATTTTCGCGGAGGCATCAATACGACAGTCATCGTCTCATCGGTCGCTGTTCAGAAAGAAGTCAGTAGCAAACCGTCAGAAGTAATATTGTGATTTATTATTGTAATATTCGTTCACAGATCTTAGTGGCAACATGTTTTATATGTGTGTTACAATAAAGAATTCTCGAGTGGCCAATCAGTGTTTTGGTTTTTTCGTCCGTTATTACTAAGCGTTTCTGAGAAACTTCAAGGAACAGCGTGAGTCCCAGCGTAGCAAGAGCTGGGCATTAACGGTTTATGAGACGTGATTGACACCTTTTGTCCCTTAACTTATAGTAGCTGTGTGCCCCCAGGGAATATGACGTGCATGACCTCCGACCTAGGTGAACTACAGCTCTTTTCTTGAAATTAATTTCCAGACTCCGGATGTTAACCCATTCAGCTTACTTATCTAGATCGTTGATTTACTGTTTTCCATATGTTAATATCGTCCGCAAATAGTAAGTTAGATTGGGTAAGAATTTTCTGCAGTTCATAACGTATAATATGGGTAGCAATGGGTCATTTACAGTTCCCTGAGGTACTCCACTTAGTACTGCTTTCCACCCTGATAGTACACCACTGACCCTTGATAATAATTTGTATTCTCATGTAAACATATAAATTTACATGAAAATCCATTCCATTTTTACGGGCACAATCAAGTATGGTATGATGTCATATCTTCGATTGTCGACAAGTTATTAATGTTTCAACAGTTAAATATTTTATATATATATATATATATATATAATTCAACTGATTGTCTGAACCAGGCCGTATAGTTATTGAATTGTACAGTTGTCCTCCAGGTTGAGCGGGAAAATCGACTTCGTTTCGTTTTCATCCCGTGGTTGTCGGCATACGATAACCAACCAATACTGAGGTAAGTACAAAGTTTACAAGGGATTGAAAGCTGTTTTAGAAAAGTTAAACTGCTAGGGTGAATCATTAAAGTGTAATAAATTAAGTAAGTGCAATATATCATTAATAAATACATTTACATAGGAAACAGAATGGGAAAGTAATTAATCATTAGGCCGACAACTTTCATTTGCAATGTATAATGCTATCCATATAGTTCGTACTATCATGATGTCCACTTTTGGCTTTAATACAATTATTTTCAGGCCAGTTGTTTTTATTTCATGCCTTTTTGTCTATTTGGTGCACAACCGTACCCTACAGAGAATAGGAATAGAATAAGTCGAATCAAATTCATAAAGAGCTATAAAAATGTTAGGTTTAATGGAATATAATGAGGATCAAGTAAAGACGTTATTAGAATGAGACAAGATATTGTGAAGTGGTATTTAAAGATCCGACAATGGACAGCAAGTTAGTTTATAAGACGCCCCACAAATCTGTGCAGATCCCGCGTGGTCGCATCTCAACAATAGGTTGAGCGAATGGTATATATTTATTATATATATATATTATATATTCGACATATTGAATGGAATGGTCCGCGGTTATTCCGATACTAGATCGAAAAGAATATAAAATTCACCGGGTGCTGAATCAAAAGTACTTCTCTGCATGTTTAACTGTATTCTAACTGCTATGATTAATTCCAAACCTTTTATCTCATAATCAATCAAACTCCAGGAACGATCCAATTCTACCAATTGAAGACGCTGGCGAACATGCTGTAAATGAGTATTCATGATCTGAAATGAAGAAGCAACTGGTTCTCTAGTAGTTTTTCAACATTATACCCAACTTACGAGTACAGTCCGCCTTGCAGACACAAATGGAGAATTCTGGAATCTACCTCGGCACCATTCGATGCAGTCAAACAACTTAACATGACCTTATCTAGTTTTCGCCTCCACGATCAAATTTCTTTCATGTTATAAAACTGCGATAAGACTACTGAAAAAATGGAATAAATATATCACTGATCTCAACATAATACATCAATAATCTTTAAGCCAAGGGTGCTGTTCACAACAAAGTTATATAAGAGAATTTACTTCAAGCTTTATTTTTCCCAGATATCTGTATTACATTCATCTGATGTCTGGGTTTTTTGTTAATGTGAAGACAATATTTCTATATCTCTTTATGTGCTACACAAACAGACTTTATAGCAGACTGTTCCGACCGACTTTGATGTCAGAAAGAACAACCAAACTGTAAATTCATCATACATCAAATTATGTGTAATTTATATGATAACTTATCCATGTCTGTACAATAGGTATGTTCCTGCATAAACAGGAAGGAATATATTATTATTATTAAAACAATATTTATGCAAGCCTATACAATTGGTGTACCCTACATAGCTAGGGAAAAAAATGTACCTTATAATATTATCTTTACTAAATATGCTTATTAATATTATGTGTAACTTATCGAATTGATGATGCCTGTAAACTGGCGTCCCTCATGTAAAAAATGAGAATATATATTATTATTATTATTAAACGTAGAAGCATGATCTGTCAAGGCGTTCGTTATTATCTTTTTCAAGATAAAGATCTAAGCCCTCATAAAAATCATGGAAATCTCAAGCCGTCAAATTGCATATTGCTGTTCCTGCAGAATGGGAGGATTCACCTTAGTGGCCACCACCATATCTACTGATCAGCTAGCGCCACCCTCCCTCCTTTTATGATGTTAGGCTTACCTTCTGCCTTCTATCCATCATGTAGTTACTAAACCACTCACACGGGCATTGGTCTAATCCAAAACGCCTGGGATTATTATAATACGTAAATAGGACACCTTATTCGAATGCTTCACCAAGACTGATACAGGCAATGTCCAAAAGATCGTCATTATCCCGGCTTCCACCCAACCTTACCTAGCTAACAGTAAGTTTGCCAGGCTGGATCGCCCTTGTCAGAATCCATGCCGGTAGTAAGATACTATCCGTCTGTTCCCCTCTTTTAAGATGGCGCTTACGATTGCACCCTTCCAGTCCCTTGTAGCCTAGACTGAGTCAGAGACATTTGAGACATCACCGTAGGATGTATATTATATCCACCAAGGAAATTAGCAGTATAGGTTGGGGGGTCTTCTGCGAAGTGCAAATCTCTTTTTGACGGCGACAATTCAAATACATCTAGAACATCTAATAATAATATATATTTCGTATAAACGGGTAAGTTTGCATGGATGCCATTTTTACAGACACGATCGATTATGTTACGAATTAAGACTGTGCATTAGCATACATTATCACTTTTTCAAATTGTTGAATTATAGTACAAGCAATCGGAAAGGATTCTTATAATTGTTAATTTGTAAATCTTTCACGAAAGTCTCCATCGAAGTTGAGCTTAAACCCAAAATTCGTTCCATTCCCTGGTGATAGTTATGGCCAATCGATAAACAACATATGTTTGAGTGAAGGCTGTGCCCCCACGTGCTTGAACGCTATTTCAGGAAGAGGAGAAAATCCCGCGCAGCTGCAAAATAGTATAGAATACAATCATAAATAATACATTACTGGAAGCCTATTTACAAAAAAAGAGAATGGACTATACAGAAC